AAATGGTAAATTTTTAAGAAATCTCTAAGTGAGAAATTTTTTCTAAATTTGGCCCAAATGGTAGAATGATTTAGATGAAATTTCAATACAAGTAATTGTATTCTTTTCCACATAAAAATTTGGATTGAAAATATTTGATAATTATCCAAGGATGAGATTCTTAGAAATTTCAAATTGTAAATTTTTAAGAAATCTTTAGATGAGAAATTTTCTCTAAATTTGACCTAAATGGTGAAATAATTTAGATGAAATTTCAATAAAAATAATTGTCATATTATTTTCTTTCCAAGGAAAAAAGAGAAAAAGAAAACTTCTAAATGTGACCAAAATGGTGGAAATTTTAGAAATTCAAAAGAAAAAAATATTTCTAATTTGGCCTAAATGGTGGAATAATTAGATTTGTTTCCAATAAAAAAATAAAAAAAAATATTTTTCTGACGACGGAGCCTCTTCAAGAAATCAAATAGGATTCTTGAATACTCTTGAGGTAATGAAGTATTTTTTAATAGTTCTACCAGATTGATGGAGAATCTTAAAAATTATTTTCAATATTTAACATAAAATTTGAAACCATTAGACTCCAAACCTTAGAATAAATTTGAAATAATATGGTACCATCCCTTGGATGGGGCATGTGGGGGTGCTATAACCTTCCCCATATGTAACCGAACTCCCAAACCCTATTCTGATTAATAGACCTGAACCTATTCTTTTAGGGACCCTTAGTCAAGCTTAGGAGTTTCTTAAAAAGATAGATTTCTTAGGTGACCAATCACACCTAATAAAAGATTGGTGGCGACTCCATTCATTTGTTAGATCTAGCTATAGATTTTCGAATCTATATGTTATGACACACATACATAAAGAAGGATATTGTTTTTGTAGTTGACAAAAGATTAGTAGATATATAACCTAAATTGCATTGGGTGGTCTTTAAAAATAGCATAATATACATTATAAATTAATTATTATGTATTAGAAGGATAGACCAATGTAAAGTTAAAATGATTAACATGTAGAATTGGATTTCAATCGATATATATAAATGGTGAGTGTAATGTTTCTTGAAATTTAAAAGAAATAAGTTATATTAAATAGATCTACTAAAATTTGCAAGATTTAATATTAGAAAAATTCAAGTAAAAGAATAAGTTACATCTATAATTCCTTTAGGGTCCAAGCCAATGTACTACAAATTGGTAGTGATAATTAAGCTACACTATCAAATGCTAAAAGCATGTAAATGAAATTTAGACAATTTAGTGAAAGCATAACTATGTGAAAATTGACAAAGGATGTGAACAATATAGGTACTTTGTCAAAATCAAGAAAACAAATCCTTTGATAAAGGAATTGTATTGATACCTAGACATTCATTAGGGATGGATACCAAGCTTATTTATTAAGTCACATGCTCAACGTTTAATTACACTTTAAGTCTTGAGTTTTAATTAATAAAGTACATCATTTGTACGTAACTACAAGTACTTAAATTAAAATCATTCTTAGGTAGATAAGTACTTAAATCATATGTTATAAGGAAGGTTGAGATTAAACTCTTAATGGATCTGTAACATGTCAATATAGTGTTTGAATACTTATATGGTTGCATTTTTTTTATGGAGTTCATTTATTTAAGTGAAAGTGATGCCACTTTTATGAGCAATGAGATTGGCTCTGAAGCACTTATGAATATACATGACACATAGTAATTAAATTGTGTTAAAGCATGGCTAAATGATCTTTTGATGAGATTTGAAAGCTTATGTGTGGTTTAGTGCATGAGTAGTCACATAGATTGGTTGATACAAAGATCTAAGATTTTATCATTCAATTTAACTAATTCAAAACACTTTATCACTAAAGTAGAGATTTTAACATGATGTAAATATAAAATTTTCACCTATGTATAATATTTTTTAGAATATCAAAACTTGTGTTGTTTTGAATATAAGTTGGGAGTGTTAGTAATATTTTCAAAATATGAAAATAGTTTGATTAAATAAAGACTTAATCATAAGAGAAACCATACTAAGTTATCTAATAACTTAATAAAATATTCCATGACCAACAAGATTGATTATAGACTTAAAGAATTAATGAAAGAAGGATATCATAAAAGCAGTTAATTACTTTTGCAAAATCAATCGATTGCCATGTTCATACCTAAAAGAGTAGTTGATTGTATGCATTCTAGAAAGGTGTCAAAGACTAAGTACAAAACTTAACATAGAAGCAATCGACTGCCTACCTTAGGCAATTGTTTTGGTTGGAACCAATTATTTTAAGTTTTGAGTATTCTAAAATTGAAGGTAGTTGACTACCTTAAGGTAGATGTTAGTCACCTTACTACTTAGAATGCTCTAGAAATGAAAATTATAAAGAGACAGTCAATTGCCTTATAAGAGAAATCGACTACTCTACTTAAAAAGTTATAATTTTTTGAAACATGAAAATAATTTCTACAAGAATGAAAAAAGTAATCATTCAAATAAACTAATTTAACTTTAATGATTCATAAAGGTATGTTTCAATTAAAGGAAGTGATTTTTGATTGCAACAACACAATTAAAGATCATAATTTTAGGATTTAATCTTTATAAATAGAAATTGTTAGTTTTCATTTGAAATAGTTCAAAAATAATGTTTAAGATTAAACAATACAAAAACTCTCTTCTTTTCTTTTTTTTTTTTTCATTTTTTCACAAATAAAGTAAAGTTACTTTGACATTATTCTTATAGAAATTAATATCTAAAGATTGATATTTTCGTTTTCATCAAAGGGTACTTAGTGATTTAATATCACAAGTGCAAAGTGAAACCAAATAAGATTTCATTGTATTTTGGAAGTATTTTGATTATATCTTTTTTATATACAATAATTGGTAGAGATCGTAATGAACTTTAAAGAAAGTGGCATTTGTAGCATACGTTGAAGTTATTTTATTTTTCTTTGAAAATTTCATCTCAAAACCAACCAAGGCTCTAAGAGAAGAGTATAACTAAAGATAAAAATGGAAGGTCATCATCAAATTTTGCAAAGTTTGTGATGAAAATGTAAGTTTTGGATCTTGAATTTTCTAACAGAAACTTTACAATTTTGAAAAATATTTTTTTAATCAATTGAAAATAAAAATTTTATTATAACCCACAAATTTGTTAAATATATATTGATTTCTAATAATTACAATATTATTTAAAATATAAATATGTTCACAATTATAATTATTGTTTTTTGTTAAATAAATTCAAATTAATTGTAAAAATTGAATACAAATTTAATCCTATTAAATAAAAACTCAAAACATATAAAAATTGAATTAATTTATATTTTTTGAAAAGTGAAATTTAATTTTGGATATTGCCAAAAATCAAAAGATTGGCCTTGGAATGCTTATATGTGCAGCAATTTGTGTCTTGGATTATTCTGCAATTTCTTTGATATTAAAAGGTAAAATAAATCGTAATTATCATTTTATGGTAAAAGAAGGATAGAATTTACATTCGAGAAAGATTTCTTATTCCTCCTATTTTTCCTTTATTGACATTGTTGGAAATATAATATCCCAGATGTTATAAATAATACGTGAAATCAAAGTGAAAAATCATATTACTAAAAGTAAGATTATTAAAGAGAATTATTATTATTATTATTATTATTATTATTTTGTGAAGTAAGCGTCCCTGAAAGGTTTTTAGAAGGAAAGTAAATTCCAAGTAACTCACATTGATTTTATAATGAAAAGAAAAAAGGGTTAAAAATTTGCGTTGCAAATAAAAAAAAATGCAATATCAACACTTTTTATCAAATAGATAATTTGACAATGTTGAGTTAATTACCCTTTTGATATTTGAATTTTAAAAAAAATATAGAAATTGATACTTAAAGAAATAAAATAAAATATTTGTAAAAAAAAATTTATGTGAATGTCACGTAAATAATGATCAATTAATTATAGATAATTTTTACGATTTAGATAAAAATATAAAATTTTAATTTACATTGAAAAAGATATTGATATTATGCTTGGTGAAAACATAATTAATAATATTTATCAAACGTTACATATATAAGTAGATATAATTAATATGATTAGAATTTTTGTTAATATATGTACATAATTTGAAATTTTAATGTGTAAATTGTAAATTATTTGAAAGTTTAGAGTACAATATTTTATTTTTTTAAAATACCTATTTGTATATTTTTTCAAAATTCAGATATTAAAATTGTAATTAACTCTATGGGGCATTTGATTGAGATTACTTTCCCATGAAATCATTTTTCTTCCCAAAATTTATTATTACATATATATTTTATTATTTGTATAATAAAATTTAAAATGCTTTTACTTAAATAATTTTAAATAAATATTAAATAAAAAATTTACATGTTAAATAAATAAATATTTAAATAAATTACTTGTTTATATATATTATTTATATGTCATATGTTATGAATATAATACATTTTTATTTGTTATAAAAAATAATATAATAAAAAAATTTATTAAATAATCTTATATTCTTCTAATTAAATATAAAATATCTTATATTTTTTATGATCATTTTTTCTTAAAATTACTTTCTCTCTTAAAATCTAAAAATTCACGATATAAACATTTTAGATGTTAGACCTATTCATAATTAGACTAAATTCAATCATACCCTTACGTTGATATGGTAGGAGTCAATTTCAAATGAGTTAATTTTATCATTTTATTAAGTTACAAGATTGAGCAATATAATTTTTTAGATATTCAAATTTAAATATCAAATTTATTGAATATTATTATTTAAGAAAATTATAAAAATAAAATAAACTAAATTTAAGCTTCGATTAACAATATAATTTGATAAAAATAAAATAAAAAATTCTCTAGAAAAATAATTAAATAAAAAACAAAATTTTACAACAAAATAAAATCTATCGTAACCTAATTAAAATCACCACGTCATCAATTGTCAACCTTTGACTTTGCTTTAAACTAATTTAACCCAAATCATTGGCTCCTAAAATTTCAATTCCAACACCCAAACCCACCAAATCTCTAAGCACCCTCACCACCCTTAACGTCCGTTACAGAAGACAAAAACAACCTTGTCTGCTTTTCCTTTGGTTACTTCATATATAAGGGGACTGGTAAATTTGCTCGGATTTTTGTTTTCCTTTTTGATCAAGGGAAAACGAAAATCATGGGTGGGAATAATCAGATAATTGATGAAAGAGAATACATGTTGTTGAAGGACTTCGAAGCGGAAATTGAAGCTGAAGAAGAAAAGGGTTTTACTCTTTGTTTCTGGGTTTATGTTTTCAACTCCAATGCATTTCCTGCCACCATTCTCAAACAGGTCTTAAAACTGCTGCTCTTTTATTTTTATTTTCATTTTATTTTTTGTTTCGGGTTTCTTTTTTTCACTCAAATTTTCATTTTTTTGGATATGGAAAACTATCCATTTCTCGTTTATTTGCCTTTTTAAAGTGATTTTATGCGTCTTTTCTTAAAATAAATTGTTTTTTTTTTTAGATGATTATTGAACAGGAATAAGAACTGCCTTTTTTTTTTCTTTTATTGGCTAATCTTTCCACCCAAAAATTTTCGTTGTTAGGAAGAATGCCCATTTCTCATTTTATGTTTTTTTTTTTTTTTTATGATTTTATGAATGTTGTTGTGTACTAAGAAGTTTTTAATGATTTTTTGAGTGTTTCTGTGTATTATCTATTAGAGCAAAAATCATCACCATAATTTTATTGTTTTGATGGTTATCTATTAGTCATGTATAAAAGAGTTCTGGACTTCCATTCTTCTAATAACTTGAATTATTTTCTGTTTATAGGTGTACGCAGAGACTAACAGCAATGCTCCTTTACTTGTTCTTAATGAAAAGACAATGATGTTTTTGCCATTGACTTGCCTGCAAAATGAAGCCCCTAGTCCTGGAAATATTGCTTTGCCAACCGAAGTTCCCAAAGTATCTACAGAGATTGAACACCCTCTGAACAAATGGATACATGTCGGATATGAGGTATGTCTTTAACATCTGACAGAACTGTAATATAAGGATATGATTAGTATGAGAGCTGCATCTTGATTGATAGTGTTATCTTTTTGCTTTAACATCTTGTCATAATGTTTGAATTTTTTGAGATGGTTTTGGGACTTAGGGAACTGAATGGACTGGTTTTAATTTGGTATGTTTGGTTGCCTTTTTATCTGAAGGTGTCGTTCGTGTGGATAGTAGGCTCTTTACATCTTCATCTACATGGCTTTTTATTTTGTGAATGTTATACAAGAGTGACATTGGAAAATAATGAATTTTGCTAGAAGAGTAGCATTTCAATGTAAATTCTGTAAATACATGGATAGATTCAAAAAATTACATAGAGTATTCCAAAGGAAAGAGGAGGGCGGGAGGGGGGAAATGTAGTTTTTTCTTGAGATTAATAAAAGATTTTTAAAATTTAAATGCCTTAATAAATAATTTGGTTTGTGAAGTGGTTGGTTGTTTAGAATCTTGAGAATAAGCAACGCTGAAAGTACAAAGGAGCACAAGAAAATGAGCGAAGATGAATTAGGCAAGCATATATATGAAATTTGAGGTTATGTAAAGTACACCAATCTATTATTACAACATAAGAGAAAAATGAAAAGGAACAAAAAAGAAATATAAATCTAACACCAGATTGAAGTAGGAGCAAAAAGCTTTTTGAGGCAATGGTTCTCAGTTTGCGTATCCCTCCTGTTTGTTTTCCTTCTTTTCACTTTGTGCCTAAGGTTTTACTGAAGTATGCTTGCAACTATGCCTGCTAGATGAATACTAATTTGGTTGCTCCTGGTTATTACCATATATGTGAACATTTCTGTTTTTTTCTTTTCTTGACAGGTTTCTACTGGCTTTGTACGGCTTCACATTAATGGGGATATTGCAGGAGAGCTGCAGCTCTCTTCCTTTTTAAACAAAGATTCCATGCCAAATGGTTTGAAGAAGAGAACATTAGTATGTATTAGTGGTGGTAATGATTTGCAGGGTTATATACACGATGCAAAAGTCTTGCCTTCAACTTTGTCTATAAAGGACCAATATGTTAAGGTGCACTTACTTATAATTCTCATGTTTCTTTGATAGTTTCTCATGGCATGTGAGTTTAGCTTAAGGTTTAGAACAATAATGTGAAAATCTGGTGCCAGGATCCACCTCTAAGATTGTCTATTGATGAGTCGTCTGCCTCTGATATTGAAGAAGACAATGGCTTTTGGAATATTGTTGGTGGCAAGGTAAACACCAGAGGGTTCTGAACATTTTTTATACTACAACTTTTATACTTAAATCATAGCCGTTACGCTTTTCTTTTGTGTTATTGTTAATGGATTATTTGTATATTATATATGTTTATAGATATGAATTTTATATCAATGCTACTCAGCTAGTGTTATTTTTCTGTCTGCTGTTATAATATTACCAATAGAACCATTTTTTTTTCTTTGAATGGGGCCACTACAATTTTCCTGTTTGGTATTTTAAATGTCATGGTTAATAAATATTAAGGCAAAGTACTAATAACTACCTAATTATATGGTCTTTATCAACTAATGAAAGCTTTTGCATCAATTACTGAAAAGAAACATGATTGATGCACTTCTAGTAGCATACATTTTTAAACTTCCCATGGATAACTTTCTTATTTTTTACAAGGGGCACAACAGTTGCGGTGCTTGAAAATTTTCCGGAAAGAATTTCTTATCACAGCATGCTATTCTTGTCCTTTAGGTGCTTTTGTTTCCGCAACAATTTGTTTTTATTTATATTCATTGGAAAGTGATATCTTCAGAGACATCCATGTTCACTTGTATCAATATATGTGAGCTTTACATCCTACTTGTTTTGATTGTCTATTTGAACAGGCACATAAATTTGCTATCAAATTAAAAAATTTATCCTGATATTGATGTTGGACTGTAAAATAATAAATTGATAGGTTGTCAAGTTGTATGCCATTATACTTCAGTTTAAGCCATGAATGTTGAGTAGGTTGGTATAGATCTTTGCTTTTAGGTTCAAGCCTCATGTAACCAGGAAGATATAAAGACCTTAAGGTCAAAGGGAAAAGGATATTCCGATTTTAGTCTGTAAACATTGTTGATATTTTAGCACTTATCCTCATGGTCTTAGGCATTTGAAATGTTAATATGCTGCTCATTGCATAAGATACAAAACAGTTTTCTACCATAGGTAATTGATTCCCAAATGAGATAAGGTTACCACTCCTTAGATTTTCTAATAGTTACCATTTTGCAGGCATCTTGTCGCAGGATTTTTTCCTTGGATGTTGTTTTATTAAATGCCTTTGGCCAGCCAGTAAACAAGGAACTAGAGGTAATTTGGTCTTTGGTTTTTATTTTGCAGTACTGGCTTTACTTTGGTTCCTAATTTACACATTAAGTGTTGTAAAGGTTGTTGCATCACTTTTGTATGCTCATGATCGATCATCAGTAGAGAAGACAAATGAGGAAGAAGCTCCTCTTCTAGCTAGCTATGATGGAATTGAATTTGCCTCTTGTGATCGACCTAGTAAACTAGTGAAAGGGCGGGCATCCTTTAAGCTGAAGATCTCCAAGGTGATACTATTAAATATCAAAATTTGTTTGCGGAATCTTTTTTTCAGTATTTATGCATCTAGCTAGTTGTGGAAAATTCTATGTGGAACTTGCTTCTGTGCATGAGAAACTAATTTATAGTTTATGGTTCTCCTTGAGGTCTTTCATGGCTGAAAATAATGTCTTTTTGCTGATGCAACCATCCAACAATATAATTACTGCTAAACTATTTTTCAGCATAGAGGTTTCATATTTCATGTAGCTAGGTTGCCTGAGTTTAAACCTGGTTTTGCTTAAATTCTAAATGTTTCCAATGGCACTAGCAAATAAATAAAAGTTTCATGTTTCCTCATGCCAATCTGAAACAAATACAAATTTGTTTTGATTAAGGCTCACAAGCATAGGCTTGGTTTCGATCAGCCCGAGCATAACCTAGAAACTAAATATATTTGTACCAAATTGAATGGGTAAGTTATTGCTTTTGGAGTAAATAATTCAACTATCTTGGTTAGGCTTGTACTGTGGTTTAGTAGTGTTATATTTCTATTTATCACCTAATTTTTGTTTTCAGAATATGTTCACCTAATTCTTATGAAATTTATTATAAGTACTTGTATATGTTATTCATCATAAAAGCAAGTTTTAGAATTCTAAATTTTAAAATTTGAAAATTCCTAAATTCAGCTCATAAGCGTGATGCAGATTGGCTGATTGGAAAACCAAGGTCAAGCTCATAAATGGCACTGGCAGAAATGCTTGGCTTGAGCTTGAATTAAACTTTCACAAGCCAGGCTTGCCATATTAATACTAGCTTGGCTATTAGAGACTCAGGCAGAATTAACAATAATGATCAGGGAATTATATTGTTGATCTAGAATTTAATTTTTTATATCATATTTGTTTATTTTTGTATCAATTCATCTTGAACTCACTGATGGCTTGATTCTGATATTATCTCAGCTCTCATCCAAGTGTGATAATAGGCAGTTCTGCATTAAATTTGGGATACCAAAGTTTGAGGGTTATCATTTCCTTGAGGACTTTTCCCCTTCAATTCGTTGTATCTCTCGCTATCGTACTCCAAGGACATCTACTATTATTTGGAAAAAAATGTCTGCTGTTCATCCAGTCAATGGATCTCAATCATTAGGCTTAGATGATGTTTCTTATGAACTTAAGCACAATACCGTACATGAAGCAAAACTTAGTCCAACATCAAAGCGGGTTAGGTTGGGAGAAGCAAAGATTTCTACAACTGACCAACCTGGTGAAGAATGCAACTCTCTTGCCTGGGCTGCCAATCAGGTATTGATTGAGACTGTTGTCCTTTTAATTTTCCCATGACATCATCATCATTTAAGTCTTGATGAACCATGAATAAAAGTGGGGCATAAATCACTTTCATAAAAGTTTCTGCATTGGGTGGTTTTGCTACAATTTGATGGGGGAACTAGCAAAGCACTAGCTACAACGTATCTGTAAACCTTAGGTATGCTTTATTTGATGGTAGAAATAGAAACTCACCACCCTATTGAGTAGTCCAAGAACATCTAAACCATTGTCAATGTAATATGTGATTATTGGCCATCCAAATTTTGGGTTACTCACCCACTTTACCCCCTCCCTACTTGTTACCTTTATATTGTGATTATTGGTATAGAAGCAGTGCATTAGGGCCAATTTGGTAGTGAAGACTGTTATGTTCTTAGTTTCAGTGTGGAACCAATGAAACTGCATAAAAAGACACATCCATGTGCTATTGATGGAAAATATTCCCAGTCTCCTTGTTTTATCGATGGGGCACATGAATGCACAAGTTATGATTTCATTATTATTCATTTGTTATATTATTTCTATTTTCAACTTACCACATAAACAAACCTAAGGCTTTGATTGTTTGGAAGGATAGAAAGAGATGAGGATCGAAAATTTGTTAATCTAATGGTTAAGCTACAAAGTAGGAAAGTTGTCATGAATTGTAGCAATTAGATTAACAAGTTTTCCATCCTCACCTCTTTCCATCCTTCCTACCAAGCAAAGTCTAAGAACAACTCAGCAGCAAAGAGATGTATATTCTTTGTTGACTTTTGAGAGTGGAACAATTTAAGAGCTAGCATTATATCACACATGCTTTGCTGGTATTTCAAATTTTCCTTTCTAATAGAGGATATATTTGAAACAGAGAAAGTTATGCTACCAAAGGAATGTACAAGGTTGGTTTGGCCAGACCTTAGAGATTTGATTCATATTAAAATCTCCTCTTTACCCCCATTACATAAAATTTCATTTCTTAGAATGTATTATGTTTATAGTTATATTTATATTTGTTAAAATTAAAAGAACAGGTGAACAAGAAATCTTTGGAAATCAATAACATTTTATAGAATTTTATGAGCCATAAATTTAGCTAGAATACTTGTGATGCTCCATTAAATTTGTTAATCAATAGATTAGATTAAATTAGGAGGATGATGATAAACAAAGATATTGTGTATTTACCAAAGATATGGTGTTTTGATGAATGACGATGACAACAATTAGTGTTAATTAATATGATAATGTTGTGATAATATCTTAGAAGATATTTTAGTAATAGTATCTTGTTATTTATTGTTAAACCCTTTGTGCCAATGGCCAAAAGAAAGGAAAAGAAAACCTTCATGCCTGGTCTCATCCTTAGAGCAATGAACTCCTTGTCAAACATCTGTTTCCTTCTTTAAATTGAATATTCAATAATCTTTATCCATGGATGACAACTGCATCTCCATTTTCAATCAGGTCGAGAATGGTATTGGGTCTAGTTTGGAGGGGAGACCTGAGAATTTTGAAGAAGTGGACAATTCCCTACTTGATTCAGAGAGCACTGGGGCCAGAGATTCAGCTTTAAAGAGCGTGTCAAGTAGGGGACATTCAGTTTCAGATTTGACAATTTTTAGGTACTGCCTGGGAGGCTTGACTGATAGGTCTGTTTTACTGAAGGAAATTGCAACAACTACTTCAGATGAAGAAATTACAGGATTTGCTGACCAGGTTGCCCTGTACTCGGGATGTTCTCATCATAGGTAATTTACAATGCTTTGCTTGTTTCAGACATTATTGTGGTGATTATTATATTTTTGTTGGGTTATGGCCAGGAATGTAATAGTACCCATCATGGTATCTCTTAATTGCTATTAACAATAGTAGATGGATGTTATTTCATATTAGTCTCATGGGGTTGTTTTTCTGACTCATTGAATGACCTTATTTTGTATTTGTTGCTAATTGTAAATATGTTGCTGTTCTAACACCTTTTCACAAACTACATTCTACCATGTTGAAAGCCTTGTTCTTGTCCAACCGATGGTCCTTGGCTTTTGTTTCTCATCAAAAGGTGACCAAGTATCTTTGGGCCCATTTAGGGGATAAAAATTGGACCAAGCAAGTGCTTCTACTATACCATTGCCTTTGAGTATTGGGAAAACATACAACACTTTCAATTATTCTTGGGATCTATATCATGTATTGTCTAATTTTTCTATTCCTTTTGCTAATGAAAAAATTGTTTCCTGCTCGTAGGCATCAAATAAAAATGTCAAAGAGATTGATAGATGATGGAACAAAAGCCTGGAATTTGATATCACAAAACAACCTCCAAGTTCAATGGGAGAGTGCAGTTTTCAAGATTGAAGAGCAATTCATGAAGATTGCTTGTTGCACTACTAGATCTCTTACCCAACAGGTATCTATCTATCAATAACTATTTTAGGTCCACATTATGTAAGTCTATCTTTCTCTTTTGTTATTTTTTTAGCTTTATTGGGGGCTTAGGCATTTGCTATTTCTAATGGTTGATCTGTTCTTAGTTATTGGCTCTTTTACTCAGTAATAGTCCAATGATTAAATAAGTAAACTTTTCCGGGGTGGATGAAATTCTTGTTTCTATTTCTTTGAAATAGTTGCAGTTTTTGGGTACAAATATATAATCACCTCTTGTGATAGGTTGTCTTGCACTCTGTGCTTAATGTTGCTATTGGAGGGAAGTAACAGGAAGGGGGTTGGTATCCATAATCTATTGATTCACATTTATTAAACATTCCTTCCCAATATTAGGTTTTTCTCTTCATTTCTGTACCTAATAGAATCTGATAAAGTGAGAAATAGTTTAAGCTCTTTGCTTGAGGGATGTTACTATAGCTTATAACCAAGTTGTCGTAGTGCTTTTCATCCCAAAAGAAAGAAAGTTGCCGTAGTGCTTAATAAGGCTTAAGTGATAGCATTCTCTCAAGGCAACCCTAGTCGTAGTTGCACATAGTTGCTTTAGAGTTTAGACTAATTTTAGTCGGAGGACAAGGATATTAGCATCCAGGATAGCAAGTTTCGACTTTGAAGATCATTCTAGTTGATCTTGGTGATGTTGGGCTGGCATTATGGGAATGGGTGTTGTTTTGTGGGTTCCTGACCTGATCTGAGCCAATTACATAGGATTCTGGTAGCAACCTTACTGCTAATAGTTTTAGTAGTAATATGATAAAATAGGCAGGTTGAAGTGTTCAGAAATATTGAACATCATTCTGGTAAGGGTTGAGTATCAGGGCAAAACAGGATGGATGCCACTATTCTTATTCAAATTCAGGTTTAGGTAATTCAAAATTAGTGGGTACTCTACCTACTGTTGTCCCTAGTCATGTTTCATGTGGAAATTTGCTTCCTCATCATAGATGGATCCCATATGTTTTGTATGAATAAATAGTAAGATTTTCTTTGTTATGAAAATCGCTGTGAAGATGTCATAGTTGGACTAAAACTTATTGAGCTAACAATTGTTTCAGGACTTTGAGCTTCTGAGAAAAATTGCCGGATGCCAAGATCACATGGCCCAAGAAAACTTTGAGAAGTTGTGGTGTTGGTTATACCCTGTAGCTTTTACATTATCTAGTGACTGGATAAATGAAATGTGGAATTCTACATCACCAAAGTGGATAGAAGGATTTATAACGAAGGAAGAAGCAGAACTCTCACTTCAAGGTCCAAGGGGCCTGCAAGAGCCTGGAACATTTATACTTAGGTTTCCTACTTCAAGGAGTTGGCCCCACCCAGATGCTGGTAGCTTAGTTGTGACATATGTTAGCAGCGATTACACTCTTCACCACAGGTTGCTTTCCCTTGATAATGTAAACAGGTGTGTCTTTCTTGCTTTATTAAATTTCATTGTGGTCTTACTTGAACTTTCACTAAGAATATTCTCTTTTTGTTTACATTTGTTAGAGTTGTAACCACTAAATTATTTTTTAAATGGGGAAAGGAGAAAGCCTGATTGTCATGACTTTTAGGTGGATTATTTATTATTTATATCTAAATCCTTAATAATTTCTTTGCAACACTATACATGATAGAGTTTGTCTGAGTAGAGGAAAAGAACCACAGAATTAGGAATAATCATAATATGCTCGACTTGAATGCGCATGCTTAGCTTCTGGATGAGCTTTCTTCACCAAAGCCTTATAGCTTTCTTCATCATGTTTATCCGAGAATAGAGGAAAAGACCAGCAGAAGTGGACTTTTGAGAGGATTTTGAGCTGCAAATAGCATATATGGTTTGGAGTTGGAAAATGATGGGGCTAGAAAGCTTAATGCCGGTGACAGAATGGTTTTCTAGGAAGCAGAAATAGCAATGGCTGGGAAGATGATTTTTTTTGCTCTCAACTTGTTCGCATTTTTTGGTTTTAACCATAACATTCTCTCTCTAGATATACAGAATTTAAAATTAATCTAACCTAACCATACGTTTGTCTCTTCTTTTAGATCATGTCATAATATATGATTTGGCAAATTTTCTTCTTGCAATTTGAATGTGATTGAATATTGGAGAAAGAAAATGTGAAAACACAAAAAATAAATAAATAAAGAAAAAAGAGAAAAAGGGTTAAAATCTAATTACAAGAAGTAAATCAATGGGTGGATCACTTTTGTCCTGATATGAAATGTTATAACTTGGTTTAGTTGGAAATTAGTTTGCCACCTTTTGTCGCAAATGTTGCTAATGTTGGTGAAATGTGTTTTTTTGAGGAGATTAAACTTCACGTACCACACTGCACATTCTTTTTTTTCTAAGTTAAGATACCAAATTGAACATTTGTTGATACTGGCGGTACCATTGGTGTAGTTACACTATTTAAAGATGTTCATTATTATTGTCCTCAGATATGCCAGTTTATGGATAATTTGTCTCATATCCTTTCTACAAATGGACTGAGAGATTTGTTTCCACATTTGCTTGTAGCTCTGGAGCAAGGGAAATGAATGTCAAAGTAAAACCATTGCAAGATATGCTATTGGCAGAACCTGAGCTCTCTCGGTTAGGAAGGTAAGAACACCTCACTGCAATTTCCTTCTGTATGAATTAGATGTCTCATATTAATTTTTAGTTTTGAAATGTAAAATTGCAGGATAATAAGACACCAGTAACCATTGTTCGGATGAAGCATTGCATTTCTGCTTTTGGTTTGTCGTGACCATTAGTAGGTTTTGCTGTCACTGCCATGCTGCTAGTTCTTTCCCTCTTAGGTTGCTTCAGTCTCTCTGTTTTCCTCTTTGATGTACTTATGAAACTATATATGTAATATCAGAAGCCAAGTAAGGGTCGTGTCCATACTGTAAATGCGGCAATTTTCTGATGAACGACTGGTTCATTTACATACAGATGCCAAATTGGTGAAGAGAAATCGATTTTGTGATGCCTTTTTCTTGTCAAATTGATCACTTGATTGTTAATGGCATGCAATACTGGTGAATTGGTAGTTGATGCTCTTTCATATATACCGTTAACCGTTCTTATTCAAGGAATTTCTAATAAATTTGTCATCGACGCTTCGTCATGCTCGGTTGCATTTCGACTCATTGTGTAAGCAGAGAAGATAGGGCTTGCATAAAGATACAATAGATGTGATATATCTTCAAGCAATTTTTTTATTCGAGAAAATATATTATATTTAGCCATAAACGTTGACCTCCAAACTGTGACAATCACATGGGATCCTTGAGAATTTCAAAGTTCCAGCTCAATACTTCATAATTTAGATAAAAAAAAATTCAAGAATAAGTTGCCATTCAGCTGTACGTATAGCATTCCCGTTTACTTTCAATTTTGCATTGTTGACTTTCTCTTCACGGTTTTGTTTCTCATATTTCTTTCCCTGAAGAAACAACCATGTCCATTACCGGTGGAGAGACTGCACTTTCTATCTTTATTGAGTTGTTTGCCAAGTTGGCCTATTACGATCAGACCCTCAACTTTGTTACGAAAAGCAGGTCATCCAGCAGCTCGAGGAGTGGCAAAAGTTATTGCCAAGTATTCAAGAAGTGCTCATTGATGCAGAGGAGAAGCAAATGAAGGATCCCAATGTGCAGAACTGGTTGGCTAAGCTACAAAGCTTGGCTTATGATGTGGATGATATTTCGGATGAGTTTGCTATCGAGGCTGTAAATCGAAAGTTGCACGAAGATGATCAAGCCAGAGCAATTTAGTTACCGATATCCATAGATACATGGTTTAGTAGTTTCATTAATTCAAGAGCTTTTTTGTTTAATAAGAAGATGATTTCCAACTTAGAAGAGATCACTGGTAGACTAAATGGTTTGGCGACCGAAAAGGGTAGTTTGGGATTGAGAGAGATTGATGAAGGAGCAATGTCAAAGAGAATAAAAGCAAGCCCGCAATCTTTGTCCTTGGTGGATGAAATTCCTATTTATGGTAGGGAAAAGAGAAGGCCGAAATACTTGAATTGCTCTTGAGCAATAATGTCAATCAGAATGAAGCTTCTGTGATTCACATCTTTGGGATTGGAGGGATTGGCAAGACAACTCTTGCTCAACTTGCCTATTATGATGATAGAATAAAAAAGTCTTTCAACCACAAGCTTTGGATGTGTGTTTCTAAAGATTTTGATGCCACTTTGGTGACAAAGAAAATTTTATAGTCAATCACTGATGAGTGTTGTATAGTTCCTTCTCTAAACAATCTTCAAGGCATGTTGAAGGAGAAGTTGTTCGGAAAAAGATTTTTGCTTGTCTTGGACAATGTTTGGAACGAGAATTACGATGATTTGGCCATCCTGTTAAAGCCGTTCGGAGTTGGAACAAAAGTTATTGTGACAACAAGGAGTTGCAAGGTTTCTTCTGTTGTGAGCACTGCTAATGCTTACCCATTACAGCATTTATCAGAGAAAGATTGTCTTTCTTTGTTTACTCAACATGCACTAAAATCAAGTAATTTTAGTGGGCATCCAGAATTAGAAGAAGTTGGGGAACGCATAGTGAAAAAGTGCAATGGCTTACCTTTGGCAGCTAAAGCCATTGGTAGCTTACTAGGCACTCATGTGGATTATGGAGTTTGGAAAGATATGTCAGAGAGTGAGATATGGGATTTACCTGAAGAGCAATGTGGTGTAATTCCAGCTCTGTTGTTGAGCTTTCATCATCTTCCTCCACATCTAAAACGATGCTTTGCATACTGATCTCTACTGCCTAAAGATTATGAATTTGATGAGGAGGAGATAATCTTGTTATGGAAAGCAGAAGGTTTTCTACAGGCCAACTCGAAAACTCAAACCGAAGGTCTAGGTAGCCAATACTTTCGAGATCTAGTATCAAGGTCCATTTTCCAAACTTCTAGTAGGGATAAATCTCGGTTTATAATGCATGACCTGATCAATGATCTAGCTCAAGTGGTTGCAGGAGAAATATGCTTCAAACTGGAGGGTAACAAACAACTGAAAAATTCAGAGGGCACTAGACATTCATCTTATGTTCGCAGCTTGTATGATGGAGCGAAAAAGTTTGAAGCCTTTGGTCACATGAAACGTTTACGAACCTTTCTACCATTTATGCTGCCAAATGATGGGGTTTGCCTTCTAACCAACACTGTCCTCGTTGATTTATTGCCCAAACTTCGATGCTTAAGGGTTCTTTCTTTGAAAGGGTATTACATCACTGTGTTACCAAACTTTTTCGAAAATTTGGTGCATTTACGCTACCTAGATTTCTCTTATACTGCAATCAAAAGTCTACCCGATTCAATATGCGCCCTTTACAATTTAGAAACCTTACCATTGAGGAAGTGTTGGTTAGAAAAGTTACCCTCAGAAATAGAACTCCTATCCAACTTGAATCATCTTGATATCACTGGTACAAAGATGAAAGGAATGCCCTTTGGAATTGGTAAACTGACCAACCTTCGAAGGCTATCTAATTTCATTTTAGGAGCAGGTGATGGACATCAAATAAAAGAGATGAAGAATTTAATACATCTCACGGGTGATCTTTCTCTTTCAGGGTTGGAGAACATTGCCAATGCTCAAGATGCATGGGAAGCTAAGTTAATCGACGAATCTGGCCTTAATGGATTACAACTAAAGTGGAGTACTAATTTTAGTAATAATACAAGGAATAAAGCAGTTGAAGAAGAGGTGTTGAACATGTTTGAACCTGACAGAGATCTTAAACAGCTCGTCATTGAGAATTATGGTGGTGCAAGATTTCCGAATTGGATAGCAGATCCTTCATTACAAAACCTGTTGTCTTTGGATCTCAACAACTGTCGAAATTGCAAATTACTGCCACCAATTGGAAAACTGCCACTGCTAAAAGATCTTTCTATCAGGGGAATGCATGAATTGAATAAGGTTGGCATTGAGTTCTCTGGATAGAACCAATCAAATGCATTTGCATCATTGGAGAGATTATGCTTTGAGGATATGCCAAAATGGAAGGAGTGGGATTTTGATGAACAAGTCGCAAAATTTCCCTGCCTACATGAGCTTTGTATCATAAAATGTCCTCAATTGTTGGGAAGGTTGCCTAACTCTCTTTATTCCTTAGAGACACTTGTAATTCGTGGATGTACACGATCGGTGATTTCAGTTTCAAACCTTCCACTACTGTATGACTTAGAAATAGATGAATGTGCAAAGTTGGTGCTTAAAGATGATGCAGACTTTCCCTTGTTGAGAAAAGTCTCTCTTTCAAATATTTTCAAGGTTTTTCCCTAAAAGAGAGGCTGGTGTCAGGATTAAAAAGCCTGGAACATCTCAGGATTAATCATAATAACGAGTTGACGACCTTGTCATGGAAGCAGTTGGGATCACTTGAGCATTTGAGGCATCTCCGTGGTCTGGAAATTTTGAGTTTTCCACAACTTGTGTCATGAGAGCCAGATGAGGTTGAAGAAGAGCAGTTGCAACTAGGGAAGCTTTGCGATATTGAGTCTTTGACAATAGAGAACTGTAAAAGGCTTAAGAGGCTACCACAAGATTTGCATTTCCTCACATTTCTTACTGAGATGCGAATTCAAGAGTGCCCATGCATAGTTTCTTTTTCAAAGAATAACTTGCCCCCGGCTTTAAAGAGGTTAGTAATTGAAGGTTAAATGAATTTGCAGTGTTTGGTGGATCAAGGAACAAATACCAGCATCAGCAACACATGTTTTCTTGAGCACTTGGAAATTGTAGCATGCCAATCACTAGTATCTCTATCATTACCCATTAGGCTTCAAATTCTCATAATTTCAAGGTGCTCAAAACTGACTTCCTTATCATCAAGTGGCAAGTTACCCATGGAGCTTAAACAGCTAGTGATTATGGACTGCCAAGAGCTAGAATCCATTGTGCAAAGAATCCATGAAAACTCTTGTCTTGAACATCTTTGTATTTGGGGGTGTAGGAATATTATGTCTTTACCGCGAGGATTAAACAAGCTCAACCATCTTCAGAAGATTGAAATATCACGGTGTGATAGTCTGGTTTCCTTGACAGAAAGTGGGTTGCCGACCAACAACCTCACGGTGCTTCAGATTAATGAGTGTCAAATTTTAGAAGCCCTGCCCAGCATGCAGAACCTCACTGCTCTAAAGGAATCGATGCTCTTTAGTTGCTCACCTCACATGTCCTTTGCAGAAGAGGGTTTTCCTACCAACCTGACATCAATTTCAATCTCAGTACCTAAACTTTGTAGCTCACTACTTAAATGGGGATTGCATAAACTCACCTCTCTTAAATATCTCTGCATTAATGGTGAAGAATGTCCGGATGTGGTGACATTTCCACTACAGGAGGGAGGTATGCTGCCTCCCTGACTCACTAATATTACCATAAAGAAATTTGAAAATCTAAGAAACTTATCCACCAAGGGCTTTCAAAACCTCACCTCTCGTCAAGAATTGTGGATATTAGATTGCAATAACCTCACATCTCTTCCTGAAAAAGATGTTCTTCTTTCCCTTGGAAATTATATATTTGGAATTCTCCATTGCTAACATACCAGTGCACATGGAATCAAGGACCAGAGTGGTCGAAGATATCCCACATACCTGAAGTTCTAGTTGACCATCAAAGCATCATTCCAAAGGCCAGTTGGACAATCCACCCTTGATTTACCCATGCTCAAGGTATAAATCTGTAGAGACCGCACCCAACCTGAGGAATTGTCCGTTTTGACCCGAAGGTCTCACGATTTTATCTCACAAAAAATGTCTCATAAGTTTGTGATTAAGTCTCTACATATATATATATATCATTCTTTATCCACATATCCTCCTGATGTGGGATTGGAGGTGTTACAATCTCTCCACCTTTAATGCTTGACATCCTTGTCAAGCCGAGTCCATCCACAGGACCAAGATCACACCAGATCATCGTGTAGCACTTAATGACTCCCACGGTTCCACCGTGTAACACTTAGTGACTCCCACGACTGCGGACTGGTGACCGCTCTGATACCATTTGTAGAGACCCGCACCCAACCTACGAGGTATTGTCCGCTTTGACCCGAAGATCTCACGGTTTTGTCACACAAAAAACGTCTCACAAGTTTGGGATTAAGTCTCTACATATATATATATCATTCCTTATCCACACATACTCCTAATGTGAGGTTAGAGGCGTTACAAAATCATTCTAAACTTATGTATTGTGGCAATTTAAACAATAAAATAATTGTAGTATTAGTTATGATTCTTTTCATTGAGACTTTGCAGGCAATTCCAATACTTGGAAGCTAAAGAAGTGGTGTTTCTTGGCTACGATCAAACATTGTAGGAGATAAATACCAGGAGGATTTGGGGGGCAATAAAAATTGTTTGTTGTGGAGCTAGATCTTTGTTATCAATAAAAATTGTAGGAGATAACTAAGACACCAATGGTGCAACCGTGGCAGCAGCAGTGGTTTAATGCATTGTTATTGCACTAGAAGGAAAATGCAATGGTGAGCAGGCATTGACACTTCTCGAACTTGATGGTTCTGATGATTTAAAAGTCACTCTTATAATTATGTTCCATTTAGCAGCTCTGTTCTTTTTGTGTGCCTCTAATTTGTGTCTAGTTAATAGTTTGGGAGGAATAATATATAATCACGGATCTAAATCCCAAGCAATGGTAATTCAGTTTATATCAGCTAATAATCAAAAGTCATCTCAGTTAAAAATTTTCCAGTATTCGTCGAGAGTTGGCGATGTATGAGCAACAATAATATTATTTAGTTGGAGAAAGGCAGCTTATAAGATCGTTGTAGACTGCACGGGAATCATGAAGCTGTTGACGCAGCTATAGCTCCAGTTAGTAACAAATCAAACATTGCTTGCCAAACAAGATGGTCAGGTCATCATGTCCTTTCTATTCTCTCATTTCTGCATAGATCATTGTATAACATTTTAATTGTATGGATATCCAAACTTTCAGTCATTGTGGAATGTGGATATAAATTTCTTAATTTCATGCCTTTGGTTAGATTCCTTAGCATAGGTTCTCAGACTTGAAAGCATAGACTTTGTTCTTCTATATGGATTTGAATCATGTTGCTTTAATAATGATGAAGAAACTTGCAGTTGCTAATTTTCTGGTGATTATTTTGATTTTATCCTCTAAGCATGAACTCAAGGTAATTTTTATTCCAGTCTTCAGGAATTTCTGCATTTTCCTTTGTCAGTTGAATAATCATTGGCTTTGCTTTTGGTTCAGGCCAAAAGAGCCAGAGAATTCCTGCATTGTGCACCAAGCTGTCAGATCACAGTTCCAAGAATTGTGGTTGATGGCAACTTCATTACCAGGAGTAGCCCCGGAAATTCCATGGAGTCTGCAGTTTGCACCAGACAAAACTCTAGATTCTAGAGGTGATCATGTAGAGGAGCTTTTACACACCAGGAGAACTTGTACGGCGTTTATCATTACTGCATTGAACATGCTACAATAAGAAATATAGGAAGGTGAACTGACCTTGCACTTATGTGCAATGATTTGTCGAACAATAACCAAGTTTTTGAACAGCTGAGCAATGAAGCCTCGCCACTAGTTTTCTTTGATTTCATCCTTTATCGTAGAACTATGATCATTGAGCCTGACATACCTGTTTGATCTGACCATTTTTTATGCATGAATGCTGTTTATCCTTTAACCAGTGATACAGGTTCTTTAGTTACCAATGTATTCTCTAATGATGATTTGTGATTGAGTTTGCGGGAGTACTCAAAATTTACCAGTATGCTACTAGTAATTCTTGATATCTCGGAGAACAAAACCGTGGGTGCTTTAGCCGCTCAAAAAAAATGAAATTTCATTGTACATAAGAAGAAAAGTATGCGTGATCCAAAAACTCATTTCTGCAGAGAAATTTAAAAATTTTAAACATAATATAATAATATATATAAATATAGAAAATAACATAAAATGACATGAATTTAAATTTTTATTAAATTTATGTATAAATTTAATAAAAATAAAAATATATTTAATGATAAAATAATATTTATTTTTTGTAGATTAAATATAAAATAAACAGAAGTTTATACACAAATGATCAATCTATACGTTTGAGTGAAAGCATCCCAGTCCTTATCCACCTGGCCAATCCTAGCTAGTTATCACACTTTTCTTTTTTCAATGCTCGGCAACCAACCGCAGTTCGATTTGTTTATTGAGCATTAAATTGATCTTATTTTCGGTGGTTCATTGTCATTCTAACGTTTTTTCCTTCTCTTTGCCCATGAGTACCATTGGTCTCCCACGACTTCATGGGCCTATCTATGACAATTCAACGACTCCAAACTTCGAACTCCAAAGTCAATACCAAACTGATTCACAGGTCTAACAACTTTACTTTCACATAACAAAATACATCCTCATAGTTCAATCTCCATTTTCGATTTCTCTCTTTCTTTCCTAAGAAAAACAACCATGTCTGTTATTGGGGAGGCTGCTCTCAAAGCTTTCGTTGATGGGTTATTTCGTAAGTTATCCTCTTCCGAGTTCCTCAACTTTGTTACTGAAAAGCAAGTCCGCAAGGAGCTCAAGAAGTGGGAAAACATATTGCGGGACATCCGTGCAGTGCTTGATGATGCAGAGGAGAAACAGATGAAGGATCAATATGTGAAGAACTGGTTGGCTGATCTTCAAGACCTGGCTTACGATGTAGATGACATTTTGGACGAGTTTTCCACTCAAGCTTTGGGGCGGAAGCTGAAATCCAAGGAGGAAAGTAAGGTACAAAAGATCATTCCTAGCCGTTTTTCTCCAACAACTTTCATGTTTAACAATAAGATGATGTCTAAGATAAAAGAGATCAGTGTTAGAGTGAACGACATAGCGGCCAAGAAAACCCAATTTGAATTGAGAGATATTAATGATGGGGCAAGATCCAATAGAATGAAACAAAGGCTTCAACCTACTTCTTTGGTGGATGAAACTCATGTATACGGTAGGCAAAAAGAAAAGGCAGCAATAATTGAATTGCTTTTGAGCAATGATGGTGGTGATAATGCCGTTTCTGTGATTCCCATCGTTGGCATGGGAGGAATTGGCAAGACAACTCTTGCACAGCTTGTCTACAATGATAATGGTGTGAAAAGTTGTTTCGATCACCAGGCATGGGTATGCGTTTCTGAAGATTTTGATGCCGTTGCCATAACAAATACAATTCTACAGTCAATTAGTACTAAGTGTTGTACTGATACTAATGATTTAAATTTGCTTCAAGTGAAGTTGAAGGAGAAATTGTCTGGGAAAAAAACTTTGCTCGTCTTGGATGATATATGGAACGAGAATTATGATGATTTGACCATCCTACTATCTCCTTTTGGAGTTGGAACCAAAATTCTCGTGACAACTCGAAGCCTGAATGTTTCTTCCATTTTGGGCACTGTTAAAACTAGCCCCCTACAACAGTTATCAGAGGCAGATAGTTTATCTATATTTACTCAACATGCATTGAGAGCAAGTGATTTTAGTGGACATCCAGAGTTAAAAGAAGTTGGGGAAAATATAGTGAAAAAGTGTGATGGCTTACCTTTGGCAGCTAAAGCCATTGGTGGCTTACTACGCACTAGTCTGGACCCTGAGGTATGGAAAGCAATATCAAAGAGCGAGATATGGGACATACCAGAAGAGAAATGTGGGGTAATTCCAGCTCTACGATTGAGCTATCATCATCTTCCTCCGTATTTGAAGCGGTGCTTTGCATATTGCTCTATACTTCCTAAGGATTATGAATTTGGGGAGGAGGAGGTTATCTTGTTATGGAAATCAGAAGGTTTTCTACAAGGAGCAGGGCCTAAAACTCAAACTGAAGATCTAGGTAGCCAATATTTTCGAGATCTTGTATCAAGGTCATTTTTTCTAACTTCTGATAGATGTAGATCTCGATTCGTAATGCATGACCTTGTCAATGATTTAGCTCAAATGGTTGCTGGAGGCATATGCTGCAAATTGGAGGATAATAAAGAACTGAAATTTCAAATCGTACTCGACATTCATCTTATGTTCGCAGCATGCTCGATGGAATGAAAAAGTTTGAAGCCTTTGATCAAACCAAGCATTTACGAACGTTCCTATCATTCTCACCAGTCTTAAAGTGGAGCATTTTTAGACGTTGTTCTTATATAGCTAACAATGTTCTCTTTGATTTGTTGCCAAAACTTACATGCTTAAGGGTGCTCTCTTTGAAAGATTATCACATCATTGAGTTACCAAACATTTTCCAGAAATTAAGACACTTGCGCTACCTAGATTTCTCTCACACTGCAATTAAAAGTCTGCCTGATTCAGTATGCACCCTTTATAATTTAGAAACCTTGCTATTATATGAGTGTGACAAGCTTGAAAAGCTACCCTCAAATTTACCTACTCTAGTCAACTTGTATGTTCTTGAAATGACAGGTGCAATTTCAATGAAAGGAATGCCATTTGGAATTGGTAAATTAACCAATCTTGGAAGACTATCAAATTTTGTTCTGGGAAAAGGTGATGGACATCAAATACAAGAGCTGGGGAATTTGTTAAATCTCAAGGATAAGCTTTCTATCTCAGGGTTGGAGAACATTGTTTCTGCTCAAGATGCGTGGGAGGCTAAGTTAATTGATAAGTCAGGCCTTGATACATTGAAACTGAAGTGGAGTACAGAATTTGTTGATAATAGAAATAAAGAAGTTGAAGAAGAGGTGTTGAACGTGCTTGAACCTCACAGAATGCTGACAGAGCTCCTCATTGAGAATTATGGTGGTACAAAATTTCCAATTTGGATGAATTCTTCATTACAAAATTTGTCGTCTTTGACCCTCAACAATTGTAAAAATTGCATAGCACTACCATCAATTGGAAAACTACCATTGCTGAAAATTCTCTTTATTGGGGGCATGGACGAGTTAAACAAGGTTGGCATTGAGTTCTATGGAGAGAATCAATCAAATGCATTTGCTTCATTACAGAGATTGTGCTTTAAGGATATGCCAAAATGGAAAGAATGGTTAGTTGATGAGCAAGTTTTGAAATTCCCCAGCCTTGTTGAGCTTTTTATCGTAAACTGCCCTCAATTGCTGGGAACGTTGCCTAACCATCTTCATTCCTTAAAGAAGCTTCGAATTCATGGGTGTACACAATTGGTGGTTTCACTTTCAGGCCTTCCGTTGCTGAATGAATTACAAATAAATGAGTGTGCAGAGTTGGTGCTCAGAGATAATGCAGACTTCCTCTTAATCAAAAACTTATATCTTTCAAAGATTCAGAAGTTTTCTACTCCAATTGAGAGGCTGGTGTCAACATCAACAACATTGGAATCTTGTAAGATTTATAGTTGCAAGGGATTGACATTTTCATTGGTGAAGGAGATGGGATTATCCAGATCTCTCCGCAATTTGGAAATTTTTAATTCTCCACAACTTGTCTTTTTAGAACCAGATGAAGTAGAGGAGTCAGAAGATGATGAGCTGTTGCAGGTTGGAAATCTGTGCAATGATGGACCCTTGAGAGTGTGGATTTGTGGCATCAATATCGAATCTTTGAGAATAAGGAAGCATTTCCTCACATTTCTTTCAGAGATGCGAATTGAAAAGTGCCCGAACATAGTTTCTTTTGCAAAGAGCAACTTGCCTCCTGCTTTAAAAATGTTAACAATTAGAGATTGCATGAATTTGAGATGTTTGGTGGATGAAGGAGAAAATATCAGCATGACCGACACATGCATTCTTGAGCATTTGGAAATTAGTGAGTGTCCATCTCTAATGTCTTTATCATTACCTGTTAGGCTTCAACATCTCAATATTCGGGGTTGCTCAAAGCTAGCTTCCTTATCAGCAAGCGGCAAGTTACCCACAGGGCTGAAACAACTTAAGCTTTTTAGCTGCCCAGAGCTGGAATCTGTTGCACAAGCAATTGAAGAAAACTGTGGTCTTGAATCTATTTATATTGGATGGTGTGGTATTAAATCTTTGCCGCAAGGATTAGACAAGCTCAACCATCTTCAAAAGATTGAAATACGTGGATGTCAAAATCTAGTTTCCTTAACAGGGTTTTTGCCTACCGCCAACCTGACAGAGCTTTTGATCTATAATTGTGAAAATTTGCGAGCCCTGCCCAATTGCATGCTCAACCTTACCTCTCTTCAGGAACTGGAGGTTCAGAATGACTCAGGAGATCAGATATTCATTCCAGAAAAGGGTATCTCTACCAACCTAACAGCACTTATAATCTCAGTACCAAGGAATTATGAGTCTCTACTTGAATGGGGATTGCATAGATTCACTTCTCTTGTACAACTTCAGGTAACTGGTATAGGATGTCCCGATCTGGTGTCATTTCCACCAGAGGAGATGGGAATGATGCTGCCTACCTCTCTCACCGATTTGACCATTGAAAATTTCAAAAATCTGAAATGCCTATCCTCCAAGGGCTTTCAAAACCTCACCTCTCTTGATTATTTGTGCATCTTCAACTGCCCTAAGGTCACATCTCTTCCTGAAAAAGACATGCTTCTCTCGCTTTTGGACTTACACATTGGTTATTGTCCATTGCTAATGAAAGAGTGTCAAAGGGACAAAGGGCGAGAGTGGTCCAAGATAGCCCACATACCTCGTGTTGAATTTCATGATGAGGAATTTGATGCCTAAAGGAGTTAAATTGAAAGCTAAACCGTGAAAATCACAGGTATGAAACCATTTGAAATGTAGAGCAATTTAAAAGCTTCTCATTTTTAGTATTTTCTTTATCAACAAAATAATACTATTATTCCTTTTATTGATCATATACAGGCAATTCACAAGCTTTTTAAAAGGTAAATTGGTAAGAGACTAGCCTTCTCATCACTTTTTCATCCAAAATGGAAGAATCGTTCTGTAAAGTTAAATGGTTGATTAGTAGACACATGCTCGTTTTGAACGGTCATTTCATGGAAAACGTTGGACCGAACTCTGTTTTTCAGACCTATGAAAGTGCTGCAGAGGTTGATGAATGGAGCGGTTAGTTAATTCTCTGCAACTTTCATCTAGATATTAACTGTGCGCTTTGCCAGAGTTTATAATGATTTCATATTCAAATAAAAAATACTATTTATTTTCTTCATTTCTATTATGATGAATTTGATGTAATTATACAATTTCAAATCATGCCAAACTATTGGAATACATCCTTTACCTTATTTCTTTTAATTTCACTCCATTCTCATCTGGTCTATATGTTGACAATTTTACAGTCTCCATTCCATCTTCTTTGTAGGTAAGTTGCTTCGTTGAATTACTCAAAAAAAGAAAACAAAAGAGAGGAAAGCATATAAGATTGCATTGTCTGTGGGTAAGATGCTCCATTAAATTATTTCATAAACTTTAATTTTCTATTAGATTTCCATTATTACTTTGAGTCTTCAATATTAAAATGTTTAAGCCAATGTTCATGTGAAGGTGGATATACTAACATCTTTTAAACTTACATTGACTGTATTTTTAATTTCAACCGTCAGAGATGTCTAATGTTGCTTATTTTTTATACCTTGTTCTCAGGGATTTGCCAATCTGCAATTCCCTTAATTTGGCATTCCTTTCGGAAAATGAAACTTGTAAAAAACAGATAAGAGGGAGCGGTTGAAGATAGCCTGTCTTCCATTTGATCTCGAAAAGGAAACTTGGAAAAAATCAGTTGAATATATATATATATATATACACACCACATCCCATTCTGGTTTCAACACTAGGTATTCAAGTTGGAAATTTTTTTCTTTTTTTAAACTTTTGAATAGTTGATTAAGTGTTGTATGATAACAAAGTGTCATTTTGTTCTACATCCAGAAACCTGAAACAAGAATCTGAAGAAGAAAGAATGAATTCTAACCTCCAGAGGCAATTTGATGACCAAATAATCAATACAATTCAATGTGAGATGTCGTTAGGCAACAATGAAATAATGACAATTGAATCAATCCCACTAAACTGAATATCTTTTGTATAATTGTTTCGAGTTTAAGTTTGTAACATAAAGATTATATGTTCCTGCATTGGGGTTTTAGTTCAAAATTGTGACTTTTCATTGTACAGTTAAAACCAATTATAGAGGTTGTAGATAAAGAGGGTAGTAATTCTAGCATGCTAGTGAAGGGAATTAGATTTGGAAATTTAGTATTTATATTCTGTTTTAGTGTTTGCCGTCAGGAGACTTAGAACATTTTCTGAAAGCTGGTTTTACACAGAAACAGGGGAAAAGGAATTAAAAGGGAAAGAAAGTAGAATATAAAATCAAATGGAGTATTTATTTTCGTAAACCTTCAAAAATAATATTGTACCAGGCAGAAAACAGGACTTTAATATCTTACCGCCAGGCAGTGAAATACAATAGCTAGATATTTAAAATTTTTCATTTGACGTGATAATTATAATGTTGCCTCTGTCTGAAGGTTGGGAGCTTATCATGTTTGTTAGTTGTTTTCTTTACCCTCCTTTTTAACTGTGTATTTCGCAGTTTCATGGTGGATTTGGCCACGCATTTGCTTCCCCAGACAAGCTGGTGAAATTGCGCAAGAAGCAGGTAGACCCAAACATGGAGAAATATTTGCGTCTTCAGCTTGTCTTGCAGCCCATGGCTTACTCAAGGTACTAATTACAGTATGATCATGTTAGTATCAACATCACTTTGTTGGGGAAATTTTATGGTGAAAATATATTTGTTTTGGTGAATTTGTCAATTTACAAACTTATCAAACAAATAATGAACTTAGAACGGAAAAACCTTAATCAAGCAGTTGTTCCATGAAGTAGTTTCTAGGAAGGTGATTCAATTTCTTCCAATATATTTTGCATTCAGCAGTTACTATTTGAACTTTGAAAAAAACTTAATAGTCCTCAGAGGGTGATTTCCTTTTGTCCTCTGAATTGTGTCATTATAAGATGATGCCATATAGTATTTTAGCGAAAGTTGTTCATATATAGACTTTTTCTTGTGTCTATTATTCTCTTTCTGTTAGTTTCTATCATCGGTATGTTTGAGCTTGAACTGTGCTATTTTGATTGTTTTCTTTCTTTTTTCTTCTCATTCCAGGATTTGAACCTGAAACTTTCATGAGGAAGTCTCAAATTCTAAATGTTGAATGCCCCATTTTGAATTATGATTAAACTTTCAAGCAAATCCTAATGGAAGCAGATATTACGATCTCAGCTTCCAGACATTTTCAGGATGAGTAGGTTGTACTTGCTGATAGCAATGTAACTACTCTTTCCCTTGACTGTGTTCATCATTAAAACTTCTTCAGGTGTGAACAACTAGATTTTTTGCAGTTATTTTTCCATTTTATGTTATAAAGTAATGTACTTCAGCTCTACAGAAGGTATTATGTCATCATTGATTAGGCCTAACATTGGGATGGAGTCTTACAACAGTAGTTAGTGCCCCAGATATTCCACCAATGCTTGTCCTGTACTGGTGCCAACTTTCCCAGTTCCATATAAGCATTATGATTGGATGGGAATTACTATGTTATTTTCTTTTTTTTCAACTAAAATGTCAACCTGATGATATGGCCTTGTCCACGAGAGTGAACAAACTCCCATATTCTTGACCTCTCTCTTGCATCGTTTCAATTGTCAATAGATATCAAATAACATATTTGGGGGATGACTTGTTTTGCCCTGGATATCTCAACTAAAGAAGATCAACTATTTTCCTAGTGGCAGTGTCATTTTTGTCCTTTTCGCAATAGCACAAGTTCTGTTTTTTCTTGGTATTTTCTATACATCCATGAAAATGGGAAATTCCATGTATGTTCTAACCTTTTTCACATAGTGGATTCCATTTCCAAAAAGTTGGAAGTGAAAAGCCAACTTCATGAAACAGCTTGTAATTTCAGTTTTTACAAAAACCGCTTTTTGATTCCTTTTTTGCTTGTAGGTGTTGGCAACCGGTTGTGATGGACTGAATTGCTTAATTATGAAGGTTGAGACAATGATAGATGTACTGAGAGATCAAAATGTGACAGTGGTTTCAGTCAAGAGGCAGCTTGGCATTGATGCTTGCTTCGTTGTCAAGGTTTAGTGTCAATCCGATTGGATCCATGTTTCATGAACGAATGTTGGAGCAATTGCCTCAAAAAGATCAGAACACAGAATACTATAACAGCCCCATATAAATTTGTTTGATTTATCATTTTTATACTTCATCAAACTTTCATATAATACCAAATTTACTATTTATACTTAATTCTAAAAGCAATTCTTCAAGTCTATTAGCTTGCATGGACTTGATGTCTGATGTGATCTTCGTAAAATAAAAATAACTTTGGAAATTTTCAAGGCATCAAACTTTCATATAATACCAAATTTACTATTTATACTTTATTCTAAAAGCAATTCTTCAAGTCTATTAGCTTGCATGGATTTGATGTCTGAAATTTTAGTACTCAATTTTATTTTGAATTGAATTTAAATTTTAAACTTAACTCAATTTATTCGTACAATCATCTTAAAAAGTGACATCTAACATATTTGAATTTAAATCTCAGCACATTAACTCTTTTTCCTATCCTTGAGTTGTGATCTTCGTAAAATAAAAATAACTTTGGAAATTTTCAAGGGTTCATTCTATTATATTAATTCGAGGATGTTGTGATAGTTGGTTTGATAAACCATAAAACAAATAAATAAGGCAAGATCCTGATTACTAAAACAAAACTATGGAAGCTACACAAAACTATGCAAATACATGAATCTTTTGAAATCATTGCAGATTGTGAAGAATTATGCTCTCTTTTTTCCCGGTTGTTTATCCTATTTGACTCTCGTGGAGTTCAAAAAAAATTTCGATTTTAGTATTTCATGGTTTCAGTTTCAGGTTTCATTTTTAAGTTGGGCTGGAGCATGTTTCTCTATCAAATTTATTACCTGTTGATTCCTGAACCACTGGATAGGCATTTGATGCCATATATAAATATTGATTCAATGTTTCTAGCACGGTTTGTGCAGAGTTCAAAGACCAACCTAGCAATTACCAAAATTTTTTAGAGGTGTAATTGAGTAGGATTCGAACGAATTTTATTATATTCGTAATTTATTTATTTATTAATAAATTTTAAAATATTTGTAATTATTTGTTACAATTAATATATGATTAAAAACGAATAAAAATTAAATTTGTTCACGAATTATTCGTTGAATTTTTTTTTGTTTACATAAATGGAACATAAAATGATTTTATTATATTCATAATTTATTCATTTAATTAATAAATCTTTAAATATTGCTTGTGATCGTTTATTAAATTTAATAAATAAATACATATAAATAAAAATTGAATATGTTCATGAATTATTAGTAAAATAATTTTTTTTTATTTAAACCGTGAATTCTTTAAAGAAAACCAAATAAAAGTTTATTATAGTTCTAGGCACCAAAAAAGAGATATTGTCTAGCCCCAATGCTAAGAAAAACTGTCATAGATGAAAGATAATTCATGGTGGATAAGGCAATTTAGGCATGGTAGACACTCCAAACAAATTGTTTAAAGGATCTAATCTAACAACAACAATCCAATAGAAACCAACTCCTGCCGCCACCAGAATCCGTAGATCACAACAGTCCAGAACTGTTGATTGCATGGATCATTCGTTAAGGACGAAAGAAACAAAGAACATTAAGAACAAAAGAAAACAAGAAAATGTAACAGGCAAACAGCTCCAAATGTTTGACCCAAGGAAGCACCTGGCTGCGTATATCAAAAGACTTTAATTACTGTTGTGTTTGGATCATTTTGGAGTAGATGATGGATACAATTGAAGCTCAAGAGCAAGGCAGCAAATCAGGTTTATGCTCTGTCGCTTCTCTCTGGCTCTTTAGATGCATTTGCACGTAAGCACATTTGTTCAAGCTAGTATCTATTCCGACTATCACCTATAGGAAAATAAGAGGCTCTTTTTCTCATTAGAATAAAAATGTTTAATAGAGGGAAATCCCAGTTTATAGATTAAACAAAGTTTTCTTCTTTTCCTTTGTTGAAAGATTATGTGAGATGAAATTGAAATTATATAAGAATAATGCTAAGACCTAGAGTTTTTCACTCTTGGAGCAATGAAATATGTATGTCCAATTTTGTTTTTAACGTGTTAATAAAGGTAGGCATACCGAGCACTAGAGATTATCCCAGCAGCTGCAGCAACCTTATTTTAGTCTTAAACCAATTCAGCAATCATCTCTTATGGTTACACAATGTATGATGTATAATGTACCATGTCATTGCAGAACTTCAAACACTTCTTCCAGAGGATGCATCTGCTGCCACCGATCAACCTTCAATGTTCAGACCCGATAAGCTCTGGAAATGGTGGGTTCTAGTGGCACTAAACATTGCATTTCTCTTGCTCGGTCAATCTTTTGCTGTTCTTTTAGGCAAATTCTATTTCAAACATGGTGGCACAGTAAATGGATGAGAGCACCTGTGCAAACAGCTGGATTTCCAATCCTCTTCCTCCCACTTCAATTGTTCCCTTCCCCAAAAATGTTCCCTAGTACCTGTGACAATACAAGCCAGCCTTCACTTGTCACTCTTGTTTTGGATTACTTCTGCCTGGGTTGTCTACTAGCTATAGACAACTTCTTATATTCATTAGGCCTTTGGTTTCTTCCTATTTCAACATATTCTCTCATTTGTGCAAGCCAGTTGGTATTTAACGTGATGTTTTCCTTCGTTATCAATTCCGAAAAGCTAACTAACCTAATACTTAAATCGGTAATCCTTCTTACCATATCAGCTTCATTGGTTGCAATTCATCCTAATTCCTCCGAATGTAAGGATGAGAACGATTCCGGAGGAAAGAAAGAACATGTCATTGGTTTCTTATGCATAGTTAGTGCTTCAGCAGCCTATGCTTTTATTTCTTTCTCTTACACAATTTTCGTTCGAAAAAATACTGAAGAAGGAAACATTTGCAGTTGTGTTTGAGATGCAAATTTACACTTCTTTGGTTTCCGCTTTTGTTTGCATGGTCGGATTGTTTTCAAGTTCAGAATGGAAGAAGTTAAATTCTGAGACGGAGACATTTAACAAGGGGAGGGTGCTTTATGTCCTGAGTTTGGTTGGTGCAGCTTTAGCTTGATAGATTTGTACAGTAGGAGTTGTGGGACTAATCCTTTTGGCCTCTTCTCTCTTCTCCTATGTTGTTAGTACGCTGTCTTTGCCATTTGTTCCTGTGGTTGCTGTGCTGGTTTATCATGAAAAAATGGATGGCATCAAGGTAGTGGCTATGTTGTTGACTATTTGGGGTTTTGCTTCTTATCTCTACCAGCAATACCTTGATGATAATAAGCCAAAGGAAAAGGAAACTGAAACCAATTCCAGGAATTGAAGATTCCAAGCTTGATGGAATTGCTGATAAGCTTGTTTGACCTGGAACTTAACTAAAATGAAAACTTGAGTTCTTTAAACAGCATTGGGAGATTGAAATTACCTTTTGTTTCATTCATATATAGAATGTAACTATAAGCTTCTTATTGCAACTTGTCTTGAACTTTTCAGTTTTGGGGTTTTATTTCTTTAAACTTTTACAGAAACTAAACGTTGTTTCAGCAAAAATTTATTTCATTTAACCTAATTTAACATTTTCTGGATAGAAGATTTCATTCCAGGCCTACCATTAGTATGAACCCCGATAAGCAGATGTAGTGTGAAGGGAGATTTTCATGGATCAAGATTCAACAAAAAGTGCCTAAACTATTTGCCTTCACAGCTATACGTTTACTTTGGTTTATAAAAAACAGACAGATGTCCTACTGGCTTAAAAGAAATTCCCAACTCCCACATCAATAGTAAAGGACAGATGGTGGAATATTCATGGTGACAGTACAGACTTTCACATGATAAACTTAATTATTCTTCCATATTCACCTTTTTTCTCTTGGCAGTTTGGCTAAAACCAGTAATATATTTGCTACTATTTCAGTAATTGGTCCAAATTTTTTCACAATTTTTCTTTCTCAAAGTTACTATGAGAATTCAATATCAGAATTCAGAAGTAACCTTTTTTTTTAACCATCAAATTATCATATGTAGTTAGAATTCTGTACAAACGGATGCCCTAGAGGAAGGGCACAATGACTAAACTAAAAGTAGGCCAAAAATCTCTCTCAACACATGAATCATGCATGATTTAGACACGTGTCATCATACCGATACCGATGCCACCTATGCAAATGACGTGGCCCTTCAAAGTTCACGAGAAAATAGCCTCAACTCCACCTGAAGGGAAGGAGTTAACATGCACCAAACTTAAATGTCAAAGAAAGCATGCGGACAAAAATTGAGTTTGGCTTTGGTCATTTCTCAGATAAACTCTAATCTGTGTGAAAATGTTGAATCAAGAAAAGAGCACCTTTTCTTTTTCTTTTTTCCTTTTTTGTCTTCAAGCTAGCTGTTTCCTATTCACTTTTTTCGTTGTCCGTTTTACATTCATTTCTGGGTCCAACTGATATTCCATGAAGATTTTTTCAAGTTTCTAAGCTCCAAAGTTTCTGCTTCTTCAATATCTTCTGGCAACTGCCAAGTTAGTATTCTAACATATTTCCCTCTGTAGTAATATCACATTCCACTTTAATGTTTCTTAATAGAGTTTAAGATCTTGGTTTGTTGATACTTTTTGCTAGGGTTAGAACTCCATTGAACATGTTTCAATGTCCTGTTTTCTAGCAATTTTTTTCTTATGCTTGAAAAGATAAGGTGAGAGAGTTTTGGAAACAATAATTGAACGTTACTGTGTAAGACTTTATTTGAAAGTTGGTAGCCAGCTAGCTCCTAATAATTGGGAGATGTTGCCCTTTAGGATGAAATGAGAGAGGTGAAACTGAAATTTTTAATCTTAAACTCATTCTAGTTTGCCATGATTCTCCTGTTTTTTAGTCTTTCCTTCTCATGAACAAATAGTTATGTATAAAAATACTGGAAGTGACTGATTTCAACAGCTGCTTTTCAATGCACCTTAGGTGCTATCGATGGTGGCTTTGAAATAAAAGTTCTAACTTCTAAAGTAGTGATTGCTTGAACAACTCTGTCAATGGTAGCTAATTTGGTTTTTTTTTTTTTTTCCCTGATTTTTCTTACTCAGTTTGAGAGCTTTTTTCCTGGAATGATTGGTATCTCAAGCAAAAGTGTCAGTAACTTCTATCAAATACCTCTGCTGCAATATCTTATCATTCTATGGTACCAAAACAATTTTCAAGTTGGTTAATTCCCATCTTGTTTTTGCAGAAGTAAATGGCAAATGATCTGGGAATAGCATTCTACATCACCATATGCTGCATTGCCTTTATCATATCAAAGATCATTCTTACAATTCTCCTTTATAAGCGATGGAAACAAAAGAACGTGATTTATGAGGAAGGTTTCTCAGGTATTTAAACCTTCTAAATGATTAGTCGATGATTTTTCCTATAATTTGACTTTCTGATAAGCAAAAACATGCTTTTCTAACTTGGTATTTTCTGTCATATGCATAAATGCAGGTGGGAAAGTAGTGATGTTTAGGTCTCCAGTGTTGCAGTCTCTAACATCTGATGTGCTGTTGAAGAAGACATTGAAGTTAAGCAACAAAGACATCATTGGTGCTGGAGGGTACGGTACAGTGTACAGGTTAATGATAAATGACACCTTGGCCTTTGCTGTGAAAAGGCTAAACAGAGGAACTGCAGACAGAGATAAAGGATTTGAGAGAGAATTGGAAGCAATGGGTGATATCAAGCACCGCAACATTATAACTCTTCACGGATATTACAGCTCCCCCCACTACAATCTTCTTATATATGAGCTAATGCCTAATGGAAGTTTGGATGCTTTTCTTCATGGTATGCACATTATTTCTTCAAAAGAATCCATATTTGTCAATGTTGAAAGGGACTATAACTTTTCTTATTTTAGTTTTCAAGCAAAGAGGTCAAAATTTTGATTCCCAGTCATTTGGCTCATGTAGCCACCCTTAAGACATGGCATCTAGCAAGACTCAAAAATTTTCAGAAAGTAGGATTAATTTGGAAGTTATATATCAGAACTGATGCGTGAAGCACAAAATCAAGTTTAACTTTGTTTAACTTTTCTGGGGTTAATTGATGATCGATTAAACCGTGTTGCAGGAAAATCAATGGAGAGTAAGATATTGGATTGGCCAACAAGATATAAAATAGCATTAGGTGCTGCAAGAGGAATAGCATACCTTCACCATGATTGTATCCCTCATATAATTCACAGAGATATCAAGTCCAGCAATATATTACTCGATCAGAACATGGAGGCTCGAGTCTCAGATTTCGGACTCGCCACTTTGATGGAGCCAGACAAGACTCATGTTTCAACATTTGTGGCTGGAACCTTTGGATATTTAGCCCCAGGCACGACGAACAAAATTGTAGTCATGCTTCTCCCCTACTGTTTTGACTTTTTTATAATTAAATTTGGTTCTTCTGCAGAATATTTCGATACAGGAAGAGCAACAGGAAAGGGCGATGTTTACAGCTTTGGAGTTGTTTTGCTGGAGCTTTTAACAGGAAAGAAACCAACGGATGAAGCATTTCTTGAGGAGGGAACAAAGCTTGTTACATGGGTAAGTTTTCTTGTTTCATGAACATTTAGTTTGACATTATTGTTTATTACTACTTGATATTGGCTACCTTTTTTATTCAAATCCTAGTTTATGCAACACTTTCTTTTGTACTCAGGCTGCAACCTCTTTTGTATTAAAAAAACCCAATAAAATGGTTGCATCACCCCCTTGGTAGCAACCTACAAATACGACCACGATAATTTCCTCTACTAGCTCATATTTAAGAAGTTTAACATAAACTTGAAGTTTTATCCTGAATACTTATGTGAAAATGTTTGATGCTGTATTTATTTAGAGATTTATGAACATCCATCACAGTATTAATCATTCTGCTAATATTTAAACAGGTAAAGGGAGTTGTTGAAGAAAGGAGGGAAGAATATGTGCTTGACAGTAGCTTAAGTTCTTGTCCTGTGGATGAGATTAACAATACATTCAATATAGCATTGATGTGCCTTGAAACAGATCCTTCCAAGAGGCCTACAATGGCTGAGGTTGTTAAGATGCTGGAGCAGATAAAATCAGGGAGCGCTGTAACTGATTCTTAATGTTGTTCTTAGTCTAGTCATTCAAAACTACTGTACATACAACATTTTTATCCTGTTTTTATATTTTTGATTGAATAATCATAAACAATTTACTTGAGGACTGCAGCCAGCCCACCGGCAACTGAGGTTTTCAATGAAGGAGAAACTGGAGCATCTCCAAAAAATACATCAAAAAGGGCAGAACCTACATTTGCTGACTCAATTGTAGCATCAATTCTAGTTGGCAATCCATCTGCCGAGACAGCAACCTGAAAGAAATACACATTATCCAAATGAATATGTATGTGTAAAAATGATAAAGGATAAAAGAGGAGAAACTAGACAGTCCTTGATTAACATCATGGGTAAAATGCTTTATCCCATGTTAAACCATGTAAAGAAAGAATAATGTCCATTTAAGTTACACTCACAAGCATTTTAGATGGATCTGGCCAAATCAAAAAGATGAAAGTGCCTTTGTTAAGAGGTCGTCCTTGGAAAATACTACGAAATGTGGACAGAGCAGATTCATCAACCGGAGTTGGTTTCTTAATTCTTGGGGAGATGGCTTCATCCAAAGCATCCCAGAAAGTTTTACCATCAACATCTCTCACCAGCACAATCTGTAACGATTTCTCCAGAGGAACTGCAGTTAAAAGAAAGATAATTGGCAACCTCAAAATGGCTCTTTCCTCTCTTCAAAAATATCTATATATATAAGCCTTATAATGATATATATATATATATAAATATATATATGTATGTCTATATATCATATCATTATTACCCTCAAAAATTGACTTAAACAAGGAGAAATCATCTTGAATCTGAGCAGCTGACCGTCCCTTCCAGGCATCCAATTTACTTAAGATGGATTGATTGACATATAGTCCCGCTGCATAAACCTTAACACCAATGATGGCAAAAACTTTCTCCCTGTACCCTGAGATCATTAGGCAGCTAAGACAGTTGTACATAAAGCATTCCGCTAAAGGGTTATTAATAGCACTCAACAGTGTAATACTTTTGTCATATTTAAGGAATGTTTTGTTTGTTTATTCAGAGGGCGTTATTGGAAATCACATGCATTATTAAGTAAACATTATCAATAAACTAATTCACAACTGCAGAAAAACAAGTATGTTAACTGCTTATTCCAAGTAATATCTTCCCACAAAATCTTCCCAGTCATTCCCCATACTCTGGAGAGTCAAGAAACTTTCTTATTTCAATATCTAAACTCCTGAAGCCTGTACCATAAGGCTTTTCCTGTCAAACAATCAAAGGAAAATGTATGCAATCTCTTAACTACCAACAATTTCATGCAATGGTTCTCTCCATGAAAGATAGCCCACTAGCGCATTTCCTCTAAGTAGCCCAGAACTTTGCAGGTATATTGAAGAAAGCTACATGATCATTCTTTCAAATTATGATCATAAGTTTTCAAATGAAAGATATAGAGCACCCCTAGCTCATTTGATTCACCTTTAGTTTTCTTAATCGTAGATATTCTAGCCATCTGTTACTTTAGCAACTTACCTGTACCAAGCAAAGACAATGAACTTGAATGACCAGGCAAACTTAAGGATGTCTGAAATTTCACTTTGGTTGTAGGCTCCTCAGTGTAATCTGCAGTTCCCACTACACATCGACAAAAGGAGAAACAATATTAGGATTTTTTTTTAAGGAAAATGATGCGAAAATGTCTTCACATACTTCCAGCTACTTCATATATTCTTAAGAACGTGGAGAAATCATCCATTATAGTTTATCAAACTAGCATATCAACTAATTCCAAAATAAGAATAGAAAATGATAACTCTTATATTCCCTCCATTCAATTTACCTGATAAGGAATCAAATGTTCAATGTTATCATTTTGCATTAATCTTCTCCATATCAAGTAACTATGGCAGTCTTCCCATTTAACCTTTAGTGCACAAACTGTAAGCACATCTTCCTCAAGATATAACCAGTATAACTGAGGCACTACGGAATTTTGTAAGTGTACACTCTCAAATAAGAACATTGTTGGAAAAAATCGATATTCCCCATACTGTTAAGCCTTTAGCAAATTGCAAGAAAACCAGAATATTACCTTTTGTACTTCATACAATTACATCTTAATCCACAATCATTTAATTCTAGCCATTAATTGGCTTAGGGGACATTCTTAAATTCTATTAGCCTGACAACATCCACATATTAATGAAAGCTTAAGCAATTAAAAAACAGTTCACCTGATCAGAAGTACTACTAATAAAAACAGAACTTAAATTCATGATTAACTAGCATATCATTCTGTCAAATAAAATGCTAATTTTCTACAATTCTTATCTACAGTACGGACTTTTTTTCTTTTATTTTTTGGAATTTGTTAGGGCCAGAATGCAGTATAGGCTGAATATTTGATTATCAAATTTTCAAGCAACTCTTCCTGCCAAGAAGTTAAAATTTTTCTCGTTCTTAGTTTATGCTGAAAACCAAAACCTTGATAGCTTAATTCCTTGTACCCTACCAAAATTTCCAAAATTGTGACAGAATCTTCAACTAAACAAAACCTACTGATATTAATTTTATTAATTGACCATGCACATGAAATTATCCTCATTCCTCAATACTAAGGGGATAGAGAATGCCATCTAAATATTTCAAGAAAGCTACATAATTTGAGTTTACCTAACCAATGTATTAAACAAAACTTAAAAAAAAAAAAAAAAAGCCAGGAAGTTATAAACAAAACCAATCAGCTCAAACATTGTTCTTGGAATGATTGTCAACAAAACAATTTTCCATGCACATAAAAGGAAAAAACTGCAACTCTAATTTGTTTCAATCAGCAAATTCAAAACTTTTTTCATTCAGTTTAACACAAAACTGACAAGAAAAAAGAAACAACTTTATATAAGCAATAGAAAATTTAAAAAAAAAAAGATTTTGGGAATTTACCTGAAGAAGAAGCTTTCAAAATGAAAAGGGTTCCAGTTACTTTGTTGTTCTGAGGAGAAAAACGAGATGAAAGAGACAAAGAGTGAGATTTGTGAAATGAAAGAAATGGGTGTGAAAGTTTTCTGGGATTGGGATTTTGAAGTTTAGAAGGAAATGTTGAAGAGATGCACATTGGTGTGGAAATGGATCCTAGTCCACCCATCATTTGACTCTTTGTGAGTTAAAATCCGCAGTTCCAGGACTCTCGAATGGAAAATGTTTATGGAACTGAAGTCGATAGTCAACTCCGTTGAAGTCTACTTTCTTTACTCTTTAAAAAGCTTTCACTTTTTTTTTTTTTATCGAATGTCCCCAATGGGACCAGTTGTTCAGTTTTAATCCTCATCAAATGAGATTTTTTTTTTTTTTGGAGAGAATTTTAGCCGTCATAATTTGAGTTTTTTACTTGGAATATTGTCCATCCTCACTGAGAAATACTCTCCCAACACAATGGTGTTAGAATCTACGGTCAATTCTTTTAAAATGATTGGAACTTAAATTAATTTAAACACGTAAACTTAAATAACTAAAATATAAAATTAGATTAATCTAAATTCAAAATAAATTAAATTAAAAAACATTTGAATTTTTTTATTTAAAATTATTCAACATAAATCTATTCAATCAATTATCACCTCTAATTTTGAATTTAACATGGATAGATGATTTATAAATTGAAGATAATTATTTTCAAATTTTTTACTCAAAATCTTTATTAGTGATGGCAACGGGTCGGGGAGGAGCGGATTTTTGCTCGCCTCGAATCCGACCCGATTTTAAATATGCAATATTCGAACCGTATCCGACCCGATAATTTTTTCATTTTTAATATCCGAACCCGACCCGACCCGACTCCGATATTGTATAAAATCAAATCCGACCCCGACCCGACCCGAAATTAATAAAATATTATTTTAAATATAAATATAAAATTAAATATATATAAAAATATATATAATTAAATATAAAATTAAAAAAATAATTTTTTTATATATATCGGGTCGGATAGGGTCGGGTTTGCTCAAAACCCGACCCCGACCCAACCCGAAATTTTTTTTACTCTACCCGACCCTACTCTACCCGATACCCGATTTTCAAAAAAAAAAATCGATCTTAAATGGTCGAATCGGGTCGAAACCCGACGGATTCGAGTGATTTTGCCCACCCTAATCTTTATATATGAAAATTTGTCATTTTTTACTGATTGTCAAGGCTCAAGTTAATTACACTTTAGGCTCAAAAGTGATTTCTACATGTCTAAGTCTATTGTCTTTTCATAATTTTGAATCAATGTATTTGAAGGATTCCATTTCTTTGTTGGACTAAAGCACCTAAACTATTTTTTCATAATTTATTTCTAACTTATTCCCCTTTTTTTTCCTTCTTTTTTTTTTATCCAAGCTATAAAAATTTAAAACAATTTTTAGGTTTTCAAATTGAATTATGAGATTAAAATTTAGAATTTTTTATACGATAAAGAAATATATCTTATCATTTTTATTATGTAAATAAATATTAAATGTAAAAAAATATTTTCGCATTAAGTTGTCTGATTTTTACAACCAATAATTGTACGGATGTGGATCTTATCTATACTTAATAAAAAATTTAATTTTTTATTTGAATTAAAATGAAAATAAATATTATATTATAGATATAATTTTAAATTTTTATTGGGTATAAAGATTAATACAAGTAATATAATACTTCGATCTATTGCCGTAACCTTATAAATATTTTTGTATATTTAATACATAAATTTTTTATTAAATAATATAAATTATTATTTTAGATTAATTAAAATTAAAATATTTTTATAAAAAATATATATAATATATATTTATAAAAAATTACTTAAATATACAAGATAAAAATTTTAAAAATAAATTTTTATTTTTATTTTTTTAAAATTATATATATGAGAATTATCCATGCTTATTAAATATTCAAGAGAATAAAAATAAAAATAAATTTAAAATATTCATTAAAAATAAATATTAAAATATATATAATATAAAAATCAAAAAATAAAGATGAAAAATATTTTATTTTACTAATTCTCTACTCATTGTATCCTTAAATAATAGCTCAATCTTCATATCAAAATGATAATAGTTATAAAAATATTGTACAAAGAATTTGCAATATAAAGATAAAAAAATAAAAAATAATGAAATTTAAAATTTAAAATTTAAAATTATTAAATATTATTTTTTAAAAAATTAACCGAATTAATACTCAGTATTATTATCTTATTCTTTCATCTACTACACTTCTTATTTCTCTTTAGAATTGGGGTTCGATTTTCATGGCTGGTGCTTGCTTTTAACAAAGCTCTTTGGCCAGCATTGAATTGACAAATGTGCGTCGGTGAACATTTCGGTTTGGCCATCAGGTGTCAAATTTGATGCCAGTTGAGAGATCTGACGCCCATCAAATGTAGCAACCCCATGCATGATCAACGACTTTGAGGTAGCGATAAATAAAATATTTTTTATTTTATTTTTAAATTTTTATATTATATTTATCTCCACTATTTATATTTAAAAGATATTAATAATTTTTATATTTATAAATTTAAAAAAATAAAAATAAAAATGATTTTTTTGTTTTTTACTTTTAATTTATATATTTAGATAATTTTTTACAAAATATATATTAATATTTTTTTTAATAAAAATATATTAATTTTAATTAATCTAAAATAATAATTTATATTATTTAATAAAAAATATATTTATTAATTATATATAAATATATATAAAATATGAGCACGTGACAGATCTTATATTATTTGTTTTCATACTTATATTTAATAAAAATTTAAAATTATATTTATTTTAATTTTTATATCAATAATATACTATCTATTCTAATTTTTATTTAAATAAAAAATTAAATATTTCGTTAAATATAAATAAAATTAACTTTCCTAATTTAAAGTGTCGAAAGCTAAACCCGATGCTACACAGCTGGCACCAGATCAGCATTTGTTGCAATTTTCAGTGTCAAAAGGTGGCAGATCCAGGATCAAGTTGCCAATTTCAATGCCAAAATATTAAGCCACATTTTTGCTTTCGGTGAAAAGAGGGTGGGTGTTTAAAATTAAAACCGTAGCAATTCAAAATGTTCCAATGTCGCATTTCCACTTTAATCCACTTATTTAAAGTTTATCTTGAAAAGAGGCTCCACATTCCACAAATGTGAAAATATAACAGAAAGTTCTCTAACAAAATTCCTTTTTATGGTCAATTCTCATTCAATTCTTGTAAAGAATCTTTTAAAAATAAAATTTTAAATACATTAAATCAATATTTAAATAGTAAAAAATAGGTTACCATAAAAATTACATGTCGCGAATTTGCACAATAGTTTTGCATTACATCAACAAAAATGGAAAATAATTTGGTAAAGGCAGTGCTAACATGTTAACATTCCTCCAAAAACAGTGAATTTGATCTATAAATCAATTTGTGTCTGTTTAATCTAATCATCTTTTGCTCAAAAAGTGTAATAATCAAAATCCCACAACAGAAAACAAATTGAAACTAAATTTTAAGAATGAACCAATTAGAAAGCAAAACCATGAAAGGTAAGCAGTTGGTCCCCACCATTTCTGTCCTTTCCTCTATCCATTTTCTGCGAGAGAGGTCCCTATTCCAACCCTAACGGCTCTTCAAACAATGTAGCCGTTAGACTGACTTTTCTGATCTTTACTCTCCCACTACCTTAAAAGGCCGCAGCTTTTCTTTGCTTTCCTCAAATCAAACAACTTCAATTACTACTCCCATCATTCGTTTTCAGTTCACAATAGTCATTTCATATTCTTTAGTACAGCTTTCAATGGCTAAAGTGGCAGCACTCTCTCTGTTTTTCCTGCTCTTGTCCTTCATTTCAGGTAGTTTAGTTCTTTCCTCCTAGGTTTCATATTCATTACTAAAGTACAAGTTAAAAAAGGTTCATTTTACAAACTTTCACAGTTTCACTTCTCTTTACTTTCTTTTGGGTCTTTGCAAGATTTTCATGAATGTAATTGAATTCTATCTGAGTTTTACTACTTCAATTAATTTCTTGCTTAAGTTGTTGGTTTAGTCTTAATCTGACTTGGGTTTCTAATAAGTAGTCCTATCTCCAGCATTAACTGGTTTTTTACGACATTTTTTGGTTCCTCAGATCTTGGTTTGGTTTTGTTTTATGACTCTAACTACATTCAATTTTCTTTTGGTTTGATTCTCATTCTTTTGCTAGGAGGAACTTCGATGATGGTCAATGGACAGGTAATTACATCAAGTTTTTGGGCCCTGTAAACTCAAAAACTAAGGTCAACTATTGTTTTCTTATTGATTGCAAATTTTGCAAATGGAAATGCAGAAAACTTGGTGTGTGGCTAAGCCATCATCAGACCAGGCAACTCTTCTGGCAAACATTAACTATGCATGCTCTCAAGTGGATTGCCGTGTTTTGCAAAGGGGTTGTCCTTGCTTCAGTCCTGATAATCTGATGAACCATGCTTCCATTGCCATGAATCTTTACTACCAATCCAAGGGAAGAAACACGTGGAATTGTGATTTCAAAGGCTCTGGTCTCATTGTCGTCACTAATCCAAGTAAGTCTCATTTCAGTAAAAGATAGAATCATAAAAATGACTCCCATTTGTGGCTAAGGACATGATTTTGTTTATGTTCCTTAAGTAGTTCTTTCCAATGCACCCATAATTTATTATTATCTGAAATTCTATTGGTAGAATATTGAATTCTTAATTTCAGTAATCTTAATTCAATACATGACAATCTTGAATCTTGAATATTATCTGAAATTCTGAATATGATACAAAACAAGAAAAGAAAAAGAAATACCATACTAAACTCTGAAGTGGGGACTATCCAAATCCTTCATTTCAGTTAGAAAAATGCAATAGGATTCAGGGACTTTATTATATCAACTAGTTTTGTGGTCTTGAACTCAAAACTGAGATCTAGAGAAAACTCCAAAGAGTGAAAAGGATCATTATTGATATTAATCTTGAAGTTATCTAATAAAACAGGAAATCGAACCCAAGGCCTTAAATGATGGATCTAGAGAATGTTGTCATTTTTTTTCATCTTCAATAAACTTTACTTCTTTTAATCTAATGTATTAAGTGATTGTCATGTGATATGTAAATGTGCTAAAATCTATGTTCTTTGGGTGTTTGTGCAGGTTATGCTACCTGCATTTATGAGTAGCTGAGCACTGTATTGGTTCAAGCAACTGTATGTTTCCTTTGGAAATGGAAAACTTGTAGCTTAAATTATTAACTTTTCTATTTTTCAGTATATGGAATATGTAACTCACTTAAATTAACCTGGTTGATTATAAGCTTCTGCTATTAATTAAATTGGTTAACAAATGTGAAAAGATATTCTCATGGAAAGCTAATTTTAGCTGAGATGATGCTATCCTTTAATCCTTACAACCCAGCTTGGAAACCTTCAAAAGGGTATCAAATAGATACACATCCAGCTCATCACCCTTTTTTGCTTTTCTTTTCTTGATTCTTTTTCCTTGATGATTCTTTCTTTTATTCAACTTTACAGGGTCTTTACAGGACAAAAGTTAACTATCCAGGGAATCTGCAATATCCAAATCAGATATTGATATTAGAAAATAGATAAAAAGGCACTTTTCATGACTAGCATATATAGTGGGGCTTTATTGTTCCCAAAAAAGATAATCCAAACTTCATATCTAATTTCCCAGGAATATGTAACATGTGCACAAGAAGAATAAAATATTTTTAGGGATTTAAATATTATTTCTATTTCCATTCTAAAAGAAATCTTTTGAGAATTTATATGTAATTATTTCTTCATAATTTGATCCCATTTATGATCTTGTTTTCATGACTTGGTCTTGGTTTTTACTGTTGGTTCAACTTTTTCATTACGTTGTTTTGGTCAAATGGAAAAACTTTTTATTTATTGTGATTTGAAAGATGAAAAGTATTAATATAGCCTACATAACCTTAGATATTTGGCCGTTTGAATTGATTCTGCTAGAATTGACGGTCTCTTGCAAATGATATTGGAACTAATGCTAAATTTATTCTATCAATTTTTTTGGAAAAAAAAACAAATATCTTAAAGTTAGTTTTTAAAGTTATTATATTAAATAATTTTTTTAATATAAATATATTCACAAATAGAACTATTCGTCCAACTCATGAATGTGGCATAAAATATTAATATTTTAATAATTTTTTAAAAATATTTTAATATATAAAAAATAAATTTATTTAATTTTATGAATCAAATTGGAGTTTCAATAAAAATTTTAAAAAGTTGATCGGGTTAAGTCCAGAAACATTTCTATTTTAATACATTAAAATTCATAATATTAATTATTAATTATTGTATTTAATATAAAAATATTATTATAAATAAATACTTAATTAACTAAAATTATTTGATATAATTTGAACCTCTTAATTTCGCTTATAAAATTAAAAAAATTACACAAACAATATATAAAAACAAATTCATATATATATATATATAATATCAGATTGACTCCTATATATAATATCAGATTGACTCCTTGTGTCACTGTGTGTCTAACAGTTTCCTTTACTTCTTTCATTGGGATACCGATTAAGGAATCTGGGCTCTAAGGGATGGTTTAGCGTTAGTTAGAAACCTGAGTATCTAAAGCCTGGAAATTGAGCGTGATGCTTCTATCGTTATTTTTATGGTTAAGAACCAAAATATGTCTAACCCTATATACGTATTAAACTTTTATTTTTGATTAAAAATGTAAATAATATATTAATATTAATAAATTATTCAGATTCGATTCGAATAAAATTTGAATTCAATTTTATTATTATCGAATCGAACATGAGTTCGAATAGTTCGACTCATTGATCGAATCGAATTCGAATATTTTTATACTTAATTCGAGTAACTAATAAATTTAATCAAACTTTTATATTTAAATATTTTTTATTATTTTAATTAATAAAATATTTCGAATTCGAGTTTGAATTCGAACATAACTAATCGAGTTTTTATCGAGTTTAAAAATCGAACTTATTTTTACATATTAATCAAATTTAATCAAGTAAGTTTGAATAATTCAATTTTAATCATGACTCGAATTCAAATTAAAAAAATAAAATTTAATCGAATTTAAATTAAATATCGAACTATGAATTAAAATTCAAACTCAAAATTAAACTTAAATTTAAATTTTTTATTATATCAACTTAATTCAAATCGATTACATTTTATTTATTTTATTTTTTTTTACTGCCGAAAGCTCCGGGGAGTTTCACAATCAGAACATGATGCATGTTTTCAGAGAAGGGAATGGATGCGGGTGCGAATCTCTGTAGTAGAACTTTGTGTTATTTGGTCTCCTTTGTTATTTTCCAATCAAAGACCCGTCATGTGCTGATACCGCATGTGATTATGTGTACGGTGCTATCTTCTAATTTATGAAAGCTTCCTGTTTTGTACCAAAAAAAATGGTATCGTACCAATAAGAAGGGTGGAAATCTTTAAGGCCACAGCTAGCTCAAGTAGTAGTGAAGGACCTTGTTATTTTCCAATTAAAGACCTGTCATGTGTTGATACCGCATGTGATTATGTGTACGGTGCTATCTTCTAATTTATGAAAGCTTCCTGTTTTGTACCAATAAAAATAGTGGAAATCTTTAAGGCCACAGCTACCTCAAGTAGTGGTGAAGGACTAAGGCCAAAGCTTGTAGGACCATATAGGAAAAATGGGTGAGAGTATTAGAGTAGTTGGATGTTAAAAAAAAAACCATTATATTTTTTGAATATTATTTTTAAAAATTGATAACATAAATTAATTAAATTAAAATTGAATTTATAATGATTATTTTCTCGAATCTATGCTTAATTTAATTTCAAAATTGTTTATACCAATACAAACGATCTTATTATTTGATATAATTATAGATGATAATTCAATTAAAATCGGAAACTAAAAAACAGTATTTTGATAATATTCCAATAATAATTGGTCTTATTTATCTAATTCTATTAAGTAAACCGGTGGCCTAATACATAGATTTTTTGGTTTTTTATTGGAGTATACAGTGTACTCTTTTATTTCTGCAGATTTGCTTTGGTCCGACCCTAAGGCCCCTTTGAGACAGTTGGCTCTGACAATCTGTTTCCACGTTTAATTAATGCTTCAACCACTTACTGATAAAAATTATAATTCCAACAAAATAATTTGAATCTCACAAACCACGCGTGCCGGCCAAGTTGCTTAAATTTAAACAAAAAAAAAAAAGAAACTTGATCAAATATTTCAACTCTTGTCACATGTGTTACTTCGTCTTAATTATTATCTTAGGCTTTACAATAAAATACAGGGTGCTTCTATTTACATTTTTTTTTATATTTTTAAAAAAACTACTTTTAAATAAAATTATTTAATTTTTTATTTTTAAAATTTTAAATATTTATATTCGATAAGTTATCAAATTTACTATATATATGTATTAGTAAATTATATAATTTATCAAATTTTTATATTTGATAAATTATTTAACTTATAAACAAATCTTATATCCTAAATTTAAATATTTATGCGAGAAAAAAATATCATATCCTAAATAATTATTCATAATATTAAAAAAAATGATTTGTTTCAAATGCTACTAAAATTATAATTTATGCCAATAAAATTTTATTGATCAAATTTTTTTCTTAGATAATTACAAACGGATTTAATTTCATCTATATTTTGTAAGTGATACCCTGTTATCAATTGCTATAAATTTTATCGATAAAATTTTTCATGAATAAAAATTTCCTACAAAATTAACGGAAAAAAATTTTATCAGTAAAAAATTTACAAAAAATAATTTTTATTTTATTGACAAAATTTTCATCAATAAAAAAAAATTTCTTTTTAAACTCTCGTCTTCAAGAGTCGGTCAAACCTACTTTTCCTCAAATTAAACCCCAAAATCCCTTACTCCTCTTCCCCTCTCCCACTTTCCTCCTCCCTCTCTCCCCACTGTTGATGTCCCCTCCCCATCGTGCACCTATGTCAGGTAGTTGGTAAATTGCCCCCTTCCATCGATACATAAAGTTTATTTATTAAATATTTTTTTATCATATATTTTGTATAGTATTTTTTTAATTTAAAATTTAATTTTTTGTTATAAATTTATTAAAATTTGTTTCGGTTATTGGTGATGTATTTGTTGAATTTTTGTTGGGTTAAACCTTTAGTTTATTTTTATTAGATTTTTTGTTGAGTATTGTAAAATTTTTTTGGTTTATTTTTAATATTGTTAAGGAATTTTTTTATTTGTGAAAGTATTGTTGAAATTTGTTGAATTTTGTTATAGATTTATTAACTTTTAGATGTATAAGATTTATATTGCTTAATTTGGGTTGATGTGTATTAAGATTCATATATGTTTTGATGGATATTTTATATTTAATATTTTTTAAATTTTAATAATAATTATAAAAATTAAAATTATTTATGTTGATTTGATGTTATAATTGAGTTTGATGTAAAATAAGATTTATTTTTATTTTCAAATAATTTATATATTTAATAGTTTAGTGAAATTTATATATTACTAATTATTGAAATATTTTGGTTTTATTATATTGATCAATATTAATATAAATAAATTAATTATTCTATTTTATTTTTTTTTCCATAATCTATTCGTGAATGCATGTTTTGAAAGTGGATTTAAGTGGATATATATTTCGTAATAAATATGATTTTTTATTCATTTTCATTATACTAATTTGTTATATTTTTCATTCCACCTACTTTAAAAGTAGAACAAGTTCGTATATAGAAATGCCTCGATAAAAAAAAATCTCCTCAAAATCGACAGAATTGCACTAAAAAGCCAAAAATCAAAGGTAAAATTATGTTATTAAAACTAATAATATTTTGTTGTGAATGTATTGTCTTGTAGCATGTATGATGAATTTTTACAATATTTTTTGTGTCACTGATGGACTATTTGTTAAAATAGATCAATAATTATCTCATATTATCATTTAGGTAATTTTGTTTAGTATAGCAATAATTGCTTATATGGTCAATTAATAAAAAGATTTAACACTTTATATGACTTTAATTGCTCATATTTAAATTTAATTAAGATTCAATAATGGACAATGATCGCTCTTTAGTATACTCTTGTTTAGATGTTAATAGATACATTGCTTAAAACTTTTGTGATTGTGTAAAAGAATTTTTTGGATATGCTTATTCTTTACCAAATTTTTTTAATAATGGGAAAATTAGGTATCCCTATGTCGAATGTGAAAATAAAAAGTTTTTAAAACAGGATGCTGTGCATAAACACATTTATTATAAGGGGTTACTATAAGTTATATGAGTTGGGTCTCACATGGGGAATTAAAAGTAGGACAAGCTTCTTCAATAAACAAAGATACCTT